GGCCAGTAGAGAGACTTCAGTTTTACTTTACACCTGTCAGTTTGATAATAAAATATACCTTTATCAAGTTGACATTACTGTTTTTTTATTCTTTTTTTTCCGTGAATTTTAGTCTGTAAAGCCTCAAATTCCACAATTACACTTCAAAACATCAAGGTTACATTAAATAATTATGCTATGGCGATAGTTCATCCAGGTCCATCAAGATTACTTAAATCGCCCCTTATGGCCAGTGCTCTTGCATTGATTACCATTTTAAATCAAACATCAACAACATCTGTCAGATATCGAAATAGCAGTATCTATTGCTCTTTATCATCGCTAATTCTACAAGCTAGTTGCAAATGTATAAATACTCTTATTTTTTTACTCAATTCCAGGATCTTCAGTTCATTTTATACACAAAATAAAATACAGTTGATTTCTATTGTATTTTACTATTGCTTTATTTTTTTTTGTGAAATCTATTTAAACCTGATTTCACTGCACTGCTCATTATTTTCGGTCTGAAAGATGGATGTAATGAGCACCATTCGATGCAGTTCCTTTAGTCCTGTAAAGCTATATTAGAAAGTTGGGTGTGATAACGGCAGTTTTCATAGTCAAATTTGGCAAAAACTTTTAAAAGATGTCAGATCAAGACAAGTTTGAACACGGAAATATCCACGGCACAAATTCACATTAAATTGCCGCAATTAAGGCTGCCGCGACAGAAGACTGAGACCAAATATACTAGCCGTGACGTCGGATAGGGCGCCTCTAAGTCTTCCATACCGCCCCCCTTTTTTCCCTTTTGCAAAGCGCGTTTTGTATCAAACCATGGTGGTCTTGGAAACTGTTTGATTGATAATAACACTCTATCTTCTGATAACACTGTCGTGCACTGTTAGAAGTACTTGATACTGCTTCATTAAAGAGGAATATATTAAGTATCATTCAATAACGGGCACTGGAAAACGTAGAATTAACATTAAATGAATTTACTTATTAGGTTTTGATGATTCTTTTTGTCTGTTTGACGTGGGTGCTACTGCCATTACTTCTCTGCTATCCTTACTGTCTGCTTCTTTGGTGTATCATGTCTGGTGGTTACTTCTTTAGCCTTTGTTCGGTCTCTGGTGCCGTTCATTCTTCGGCTTTTCTATGGCGCTGGCATTACTGCTGCTGCTAATCTGATCTTTCCTGGTCTACTGTATGTGGTGCATGCTCGTTCTCTGGTGTATATCCGATGATTGCGTAATATCTGGTCTATCTATGGTGGTGATAAGTGGTAACTTCTTCGGTCTTTGTCTGCTCTCTGCTAATGGCGTTCGTTCTTTGGTGTGTCTATGGTACTAGTGTTGCTGCCGCTAATCTGGTCTTTTCTGGTCTACTATATTTCGTGCATGCTTGTTCTCTGGTCTGTCTCCGGTGATTGCCTATACTCTTATGGTCTATCTGTGGCTGCGGTAAATGGTAAGTATCTTCTTTCTTCTGGTGGCAATGATATAAAACCTCTTTGAGCGCTTATATCATTGCTTCCTTTCTCGTGATAAAGCATTCATGATGTTTGCCTTGTTGCATGTTTTTCTTTTTCTTTTGTTGGTAACGTTTCCTCTGTAACTTTACATGAGACAACATAGTCATTATGTTGTATTGCAAACTTATAATACCACTGTTGCTTTTGCAGTTGTGCGTATTTGTGCCATGTTGCTTTACATCCTACTATTACTACCATGCACGTTGCTCATGTATGGATTTTTGTTGCAACAACAACGAGCTGTTCTGAACGTCTCTGATGTTGTGTTTGTTATACTTTTCTTTGACTCACTTTGTGTGAGTATCCCTTTTTTTGCCCTTGTACTACTATACTCTTATAGTAGTATGTTCTTTTCTTCATTCTTTTTTCTTTTATTATGTTTCTTTGAAGCATATCTTTCCTACGTTGTGTGGATGTGCCTATCACTGAAGCTCAACAAGACTCTATCCGAGGCCAGGAGATAGATAGGCTGCCTCCACTTGGTTATCGCTACTTACTTTAGTGATGATTGAGGGTCTCAATGCCGGTATTTAAAGCTAGGTGGTGTAAGTAAGGCATGCTCTAGCACCTGAGGGAAGTTTGATGATAGCAGTGGCTATATTGCTATTATAGCGGCGCTTAAAATTTTGCCTCACATCAAAACAGGGGGAAACCCTCGCAATTTTTTTTTAGGTCAGCGGAGTTTTCAAGCAATCTGATTGGCTAAGAAATTGAAACAACGAAGGTCTACAACTAGTTGATTTCCGATTGATGTCATGTATTATAATTTTGTGTTTGTAATAAATATGTATTCAAATACTGATACAATTTAAATGCTTCTTTATTCAGAAGTAAGATAAGGTGCAATTTTTCGATCTGGTATCTATTACACAATTTTATGCGAGGAATATTTTTTAAATAAATTCATTGTATATGAGGAAAGTTACGTTGTGAATGTCTGAAAGTACGTGAGAATGGATATAAGTTTATTTCAGTAAAATCAGATGGAGAGAAAAGGAAAGGGCGAATGTCTACTGCTATTTATATGTATGATTTATGGATTGCTTACACACCCGTCTAGAATGATGTCCTCATGCTAAGTTTTAGTGTCAATCCTCACTTATGCTAAATGGTAATTATTTCAGATATAGATGATCAGTCTAAATATCTTTAGTTGCCCTTGGCAACGTTAATTACTTACATTCCTTATCTGCTATCTTTTGACATACAGAGAATAGCTTACTGAAACTTAGCTTATGTGAATATCATGGTTATCGTTTGCATGTTGATACAGCTTATTTACATATGCTCCATATGCGCATAGTTTATTACTGAATTCAATCTACGACATTATGATTCAGGAACAGTTATATGTGTGAATACAACAAGTTATATAGCTGCTGCATTATACTAAGTACCAAGTAATCCCAATGCCATATGCCTTGCCAGACATACATCGTTTAACATTGACTCCCATGTTTCAATTTCACGGACTGTTGTTTTGCTGGTGTAATGAAATAGCCACCCAAACGCCACTTAATTGAAAACCAAAGTTCATCAAATAGCACTCATTCAAATTCATGCTATTTGGATTTATTAATAAAAGCGCTCAAATGTACATCAACAGCCATTTAAACATACTAAAGTAAAGATGCACGCTTATATCGCACATCGTGTGAATGAATCACTCCTGATCACAGTGTATTCACTCACACCCATGATGGTCGTAATAAGAGATGTTATCTATATCCAAATAAAATCAAATCAATAACAAGCATATTCAAATATGACAACTATGCCCTGCTGCCATAGTTGCACAATATCCCAGATAAAGGGTTCCATACTTTAATAACAAACATTACACTTCAAAACATCAAGGTTACATTAAATAATTATGCTATGGCGATAGTTCATCCAGGCCCATCAAGATTACTCAAATCGACCCTTACGGACAGCGCTCTTGCATTGATTACCATTTTAAATCAAACATCAACAACATTTGCCAGATATCGCAATAGCAGTATCTATTGCTCTTTATCATCACTAATCCTACAAGCTAGTTGCAAATGTATAAATACTCTTATTTTTTTACTCAATTCCAGGATCTTCAGTTCATTTTATACACAAAATAAAATACAGTTGATTTCTATTGTATTTTACTATTGCTTTATTTTTTTTTGTGAAATCTATTAAACCCAACTTTACTGCAAAATCAAACGGTATGGCCCTTTAAAATCTGTCCATTTTCACACTTTTTCGTCACTACTCATTGACATCGTTTTCAACAAAACCAAATACAACATTCCCTAATCAACCACAGTACCCTCTACAGCTTTTACTAGACATACAACCAACATTCACATAGTAATCCAATGACTTTTATTAATAGCACCTACTCTAAATTTGCAAATTCCAAAATTTACAGCTTCCTCAACCACAACTCATCCTACCTAAAATCCAATTACGCCGTCGTTTTTTTTCAAAAACTCTGCTATACTAACTTGCTACTTTCAAAGCTGTAGCATAATTTTTTTTTAAAAAAATTGATGTTCGATTATCCGAAATGATGTATTATTTTTAAACCGGATCTCCAAATGCGTAAAACAATCAGTTCAAGCACACATCACATCAGATCATAAACTTTGACATGAAACAGGATTCAGTTACGATCCGTATCATGGCATGTTCAGGATAATAGATCCAATCTATTATCCTATCACCCAAATCAACCTATCTAATACCTTATCCTCGCATCAAATCCCTCAATTCCAATAGTATATAAAGCCTCTTATTTCCAACGTAATAAACGATATTCTTTACCTGATTAATTTCATACTCGTTTTATAAATAATTTATTTCTGATAAATCACCTCAGAATATCTTAAAAACTCGCTCGTCGAAATAGAAACAGTACCAACTATTCAAGAGTGGTGCTATTCAGTGCGCAATTCAGTTCTTTACAGATTCATTATTGACTTGATGCAATGGTTGCCATCGAAAAAGAATATATTATTTGAGCGATTGAAAGGCGAAATTTCGCATGATACTGGTGTCAACAAGCTAATAAGAGCTCACTTATTGACAGACAAATGCCATGTTGATGGCTCTTGCTGTTAGGACTAAACGCTTGTGCCTCCTCTTGCTTGGCTCCAGTAAATGTTTCTAAATATGTTGTGCATTTCCAGAAGTAGTTTAGAAACATGATGTGTAGTAATCTTCTGTGATATGCCATCATGCAAATAACGACAGATGAAAAATATAGTTATGAGTCTATTTTATTTACAATTTAAGCTTTTTATTTTTAGTACAAAAGACAATATTGCGTGTGAAGGAGGTATACTGATTACTTTTTTGATTTGTGTTTTTGTTGAGAAAACCTGAATACTTCCGTAACAGCATCCGTGAAGCATTGAAAATTGTAATCCAACAATCCGTATTTCTTATAATTGTCATTTTTAATCATACAGATCAACGCTAGCAAGCTATTTTAAAAGTTGTTAGTTCATCTTTCTGAATAGCTCGTTTTCAACGCCTGCCTATTGATTTCTTTCATGTATAACACATCACCATTATTCAACTTGATGATGCTTGAAGCATCTGGCTCCAGCGAGGTGGACGTTGTAGTTGCTGCTGCTGTCGTACTCATAACCTCAGCTTGATGAGTGGCACCAACATCCAAATCACGCAATGTAGACTCATCATACGTTTGCGTGCCTGTATGATTCGTCGCAGCAGGCTCCTCTGTGATACATGGCGTGGATCCGCTCTGAGGACTATTTCAAAGTACTATCAGCAAACTATTCAACCCTTTTATACTCATTATGTTGCAATAATTACCCATATATACATTCAATGTCAAGAACAACATCAATCATATCAGAACAAAGCTCATAAGAATCCATTTCCACAGGCGTGCTGTCAGTTGCAATGTAAATTTTTGTCAGTGTGTCAAAGAGATAAGCTTTTTCCACGCCTGAGTTCTAAGCGCAACGTAAACTGCATTAGATATGTGCCAATCTTCAGGACATACACTTACTGCTCTCAAAATGTCCAACAATTTCTCCAGTATTGGCAGTTCTCGTATTAGTTTCTGTATAATTTTGCTAAATGCCTCATAGATTGAGTTATCGTAGATGCTTGTCAAGTGATAAAACAGATGAATGTTTTCCTCTTGATCGATATCAACTAGAAATTCTTGCATTTTTCTTATAATATCAATCTTTACATCTAATCAATAAAAAAAAAAGAATGCTGTTAGTCTAGTGGCAACATGCCGCATACTGCAAGGTATGTACCATCTCTGTATTCGTCTGATAACCCATCTACTTTGTGTATTAAGATCTCAAACGTAATTCCCGGATTTACTTGCCACACTTTGACGATAGTATACTGCAATCTATGCAGTGCATTTGAATAATCATCTTGGGCATCAATAACAAACACCAGCGATCCAACGGTATCAAATATCTCTCTTGCATCGTATGCTGTATCATCAAAGTAATTGACCTGGCCGGGAAAATCCCAAATCTGAAAATCAATAAACGATCGCCTGGTTTAAACATGTCAGCACCCTTTCTCCTCTCTGTGTGCCTACATATCTTACTTACGTTACATCTTCTTTCTGAATTTTGGTGGTGCTCTCAAGCAACAAAGTGTCTTGTGGTGGCATCTTTCCAAAGACGACTCTTTGTATACTTGATTTACCACTCCTCTGTAACCCCATCAATAGAATTCGTGGTTTATCGATGGGTGATTCTACCATGATTTGATTTGTACTAGTTGGGCCACTAACCACAACATGTTAGCAAGATGCGTTCAGCGATAATCGTAATGTATTACTTTGTTTCCATTTTGTAGGGCGAGTATGAATATGGATCCTGCCAATATTATCAGTAAAATATTGTTTGAATTACACAAAGGGCTTACATTCATTGAAAAGGGTATATTTAGTGTATGAAAAGAAGAAAGTACAACAAGAAGTATTTGTATTGAGATGACTTTATGCAAGCACGGGACCTGCTTTCTGTGCAACTTGGATGAATCATTTTGTACCATTCGTTGGTATCAGCAGTTGCCCAGTGCAACAGTTTCAAGCTCTTGCAGCCTAATAAAGGGTAGCAATAACCAACGAGAGCGATTTAGAGCTACTCATCTCACTCATTGAAAAAAACAATCATAGAAAAGCTATCCAAAGCTCTGATTTTATTACAACAGCATTCCTATCGTCTAGCGCCAGGCTCTTCAGGTGCGCCTCCCATTGTCATCAACATCAATGCACCACCCAAAATGAAATACCAATACTTTTGAAAGAATGATTTCTCTTCAATCTCCTTTTCATCGATAATCTCGTCATTGACCTGGGCTGTTGGTTTCTTTGATTTGGATTGTTGAGCCTTCTTTTGAGATGCGAAATTTCCAATCAGAGGCCTAACATAGTGCAAATATAGTTATCAACAATTTTGCACGTATTTACACGACACCATTTAAACTTACTTGGGGCCAGGAATGGGTGTTCTCACCTTGATGGAGCTGGTGAATGGCTTTGTGACAATAGGATACTAAACACCACATACGCAAATACATATGGCTCACTAAAACCTTCTTAAAAACATGATTCAAAATGCCGTACCTTGATATCTTGTTCACAATAATCTGAGCCGGCATAGTAACTGAAATAGTAGAATTCATTGTTTTCGTCCAAGTTCAAAACAAACTCGTCGCTCCAGTTGCTGGCTACCATTTGACACTGTACGAATCAAGAATGAGTGATCGGTTCGTTTGAATTTAGCTCATAAATCCAGAATTACCATTCGAACTGATTGCAATAAAATGTTGCCTGTACGTTCATCTTTAAGCTTGATTTGATAGTAAGCATCCTTATTGCTCTTGAATTCGACAATCTCGTTATTGGTGGGAACATATTCAGGATAACCCGGAAGTCCAACAATCTCGCCACGTTTGATATATTGTCCATCCTTTTGGTGATAGACTGATAATGTAGTAGAGGGCTGCCATATCGCAACAATGAATATTCGGATGCATTTGACTTATTACTACAGACTTACTTGTTGTTCGGTTTGCTGTGCCAAGGTTAATTGACAAATAAACACAATGGCTAACAGCACGCAACTAAGGAATGAAGATACACGCGACATGGCTATTAAATGAGCAAATGCAATAGTTAGTGTTCTGTATCTCTACCTATCAGCTGCTTCATAGTGTCTACCTGTCTGTATAATTTATGTATAATTGTGCGTTCAAGAAAAGAATCCAAGTATCGAGGCGAGTGACAATTAGACACAACTTCCATGGCGTGGTTTCAATCAAACTATAGTAACCCACAAACTGTTCCTACGCACACATAAACAAGCTATGTGGTTGATTCAGCAATGGCATCCCTGGGAGATGCTTATTTACTCTTATAGTGTACAGTCCTATTATGATGATAGAGGTGCAAAGTATCAACGTTTGCATCCAGTCATTCAAAGTATAAAACCTTGGACATTATGTAGAATTTTTTCTGCTCTTTTCATCACATTATCACCACCGCAATTATCATGGCTCATGCATCGTCTCTTGTGATTTCGGCCTTGTTAGTATCTTCATCTACTCTTGTCGCAGCTGGGCTAAGAAGAAGGATACGTCGTTGATTAAGCAGACATGTTCTAAAAGATTTCGATGAGTGCATAGGCTCTGAATGAGAAGCTGATTTGGCGCATTAAAATTAGCCTCTTCTTCACACTTTAAAGTTGCATACAAACGTTCATCAACAATGCAATAAATAACCTTAGTTCCACGTCAACTCTCAAATATGCGGATCATGGCCCAATATAACAGATGCTACATGATCTTCAATTAGCAAAGAATCTGGTGTCGTCGATAATGCGTGATTCATCTCGCATCAGCAGCAGCTCTAAACATCAGACCCATCCATGATATGCCATTTGTACATTGTTTATTACTATTGTATGCTAATTCTAAAGATTTTCTACTGTTATTACCACTCCAGCTTCTTTTTTTCGGCTGAGGCTGCACACTTCTCAGCGACATCAACGGGACAAGCGTTGATGGATGTAAACCCACTTCCGCCTTTACCCTCTTTCTCTAATGCAAATTCCCAGTAATGAATAGGACACATCAGCACAGGGCCAATCTCAGGAGGATAGTCGTCTTCTGCCACCTTGCCATGATAAGAAAGGTCGGCTCCTGCATGTGGGCAATACCTATCTGCTGAAAATTGTTTGCCTGTTGAAAGTGTAATAATAATTCTTTCCTTGTCGTTTGGATCAACTTCGATTTTAGAATCATTTTCTTCGTACTCTTCTTCGAATGTAAATGAGTATGGATCTGTAGCTGTAGCTGTTGTTGCTGCGCTATCAGTGGTCTCAGACTTCAATACTGCTGTTTCTTTTTCTTCTTCTTTGTCGTCGTCCTTGCTGGCAGGCATATCCTGCGCTTTATCTTTCTCATTCTCCTCCGAGGTTTTGTTTACAATTTCAGATTTAGATGAGGGTACTTGCTTGTCTTTTATTGTCAGATCCTCCAAAGACTTTGTGATGTCTTTTGGTGGGTCATTGACTCTTTTGTATTTGATAGTGGGTTCAAACATGATAATGGCTAAAGTAAAGACACCAGGGGAAATGTAGATGGAGACACAAAACAAGTAATGATTCGGAGATGGGGAAAAGAGATCATATAAGTTTATTTCTGCTGCTTTTTTGTCTGGTTCAATATTTATGCACATAATGAGAAAAATTATCCATTGATTTCAATCAAACATTCATAAAGAGGCCAATGGACGCATGTTGTAGCTAATGTTAGTTGATGAAGCGAGGAGATTCGGCCGGGAAAATGCCACGCTTATTAGGAAGATATTGGATGAGTACTGGTTGATCTTGTTGAAATGACTGAATGTTACATGATATAAAGTTGGGTATGGATTAATGATTGAATTTAGCTATTTAATGCATATATACATGGAGTTTAAGGGCAAAAAACATGGAAGTAAAGCTCTGAATAGCCATTAAGAAGAGAAAAAGGAAGTATTTATATACCTAGTGATTTCCGAATTTCTGATTTGACATACGAAATAGATTAGGTACGAAAACTCCCTTGGCTGATAGGAACAGACTACATTCTTCTCGTTCGCTCTATTGACATGATAATGAATGAAAGAGGGGCTAGGTACAAATCATCATGGTATCTCCTGCAGTTCTTGTTTTTGATGCTAATGTGAGATTGACTCTTCCGCACATGCTTATCTGTTGATGCCACTATAATCCATGGTGGCGTCGAGAGATAGGATACTGATTGATCATATGCCATTAACTGATACTTGGCAAAAGCCACGCCCACGCTTATGATGTCTATGTGGTGCGAATCATTAAAATCACATTTCCAGTCATATTAAAAACATTCAAGCAAGGTGTTTGATTTTAAATGGATTCGTCAGGTGCCCTTAAAAACCAACCCTTCATGTCAAAATATGCTGTTTAAATATCTATCCATTGATTTATTGTATATACACTAGTCGATTCATGAATTTAGTTGTTGTAGAATGGGTCTTCAATACGGCGATAACATGCGAGGTACTTGTCGCCTTGATTTCTGGCAACCTTCTTACCCTCCTCTGTAGCAGTGCGAACATGAGGAACAGCAGGATCATTCTCGCACTCCTCGTCTGTCAATTTCTCGAATAAAGGATGTTCATCCAAATGCTTCACCATCCACAAATGTAAATCTTTGACATCAGTAATGGTGTATAAAATACCACCTACGCGAAGAGCATATGCATATTCAGCCAACAAGGTGGAACTAAAGACAAGACATGAATACATTGACTTTCAAGCACTCGCACGCAAAAAAAAAAACATACCTAATGATTCTAGCCTTGTGCTTTCTTTGTTTAAAGTGAGGATCAGGGAACAAGAAAAAGACCTTTGAAAGTTGACCCTTTTCGAAAAAGTTGGGTAAAAACTTCATGGCATTCATACGCATGATGGAGACATTTTGATAATCTCCAGGCTTCTGAATACGGAGTGCCTTGATTCTTTCGTATACGTAGTCTTCGACCTTGGTACGGATCTCCATACCAAGCATCAATTTGTCAGGGAAAAGAGGTGCTAAAGCAATCAAGAGACCACCGTAACCACAGCCAATATCTGCAAATTCCACCTTCTTTTGTTCCTCTCCTTCTTTGGCAGGATAATACTGAGGGTAATGTCTAGTCCAATCCATCAATTTGGGTTCGGCAGGGCTATTCAATGGGTTCGTTTAGTTGTCTTGCGCTGTCAATGTGGAAAGAGAAATCATGTCAACTTACTATTCCAATTGATGGTCAGAGAAAGGGTTGGCATGAGCACGTTGACGATAGAAACGTTTCTACATTTATAAATGAGTTGAGCAGTTTTTAATCAAACTTAGCAGACTTACTCTAGGGAGTTTGGCCTCGACTTCAGACATAGTGGATGTAGGTGGTATTTGGTGGTAGTAAAAGCTTTTTCCCTTGTGCTCATATTTTGATGGGATATCAGTTGAATTGAAAGAGATCAAGTGGCTTGACATAGCGGTGACTTGTAGTCGCCTGGTTACTGCCGTGATTTAGATGGGCATTCCCTCTCAACTGAGAGTTTAAAGCCTTGGTGAGGATTTAGGTGGGTATAGCATGGCGTTCGCTTAGCATGGTATAGCAAAGTGTTCTGGTACTTGTTGATAGTATCAATCTCACAGTTCCGAGTCTATAAACGCTCATTAACAAGAAGGTTTTCTGATCCATGAGATGTTATTGAATCGCCGCAAGGAAGAGCCATCAAAGCTGCCTGCATAGCCATTGCATTTACAAAGTAGTTGTTGGCAGGAAATCAGCGGTATGTTGAAATACCAAAAACGAGATGCTACCATGCTTGGAGCGAGAATCTCCTAGTCAAGACGTGTATAGCCTAGCCATGATTCTCAACATTTGAGCCCCTTCAAATCAAGCAGATTCTTGTGTGCACACACAAGCGGACATGGGATGATGCTTGCTTTCCGTTTTAAACTAGTACGTACATCTTTCTGTATGTTTGTCCAAGCTGCTGAAGATTTATAACCTTAATGTGTGGAGCTGAGATAGTAAAACTGCATTTTCATGTGATACTTCTCTATTTAATAATGCTGCCTCTATCCAACAACAGTTTATTTTTCCTTTTTTTTCTTTACAAATTACCTTTCATCATGACCACTACTACCTCTGCTGACGCTGCTGCTAACGAAACCATCAATAACCCCTTTGTAAATACACCCACTGAAGGTAAGCTCCACTCTTGGTGATCCGCACAACTACAGTGCAACGACTCTAACATTGGCGTCATTGAAGGAGACGATACCAATATCAGCGCTCAGGACACATTAAAACTCTTGGAATCCTTAAAGTTGGACAGCACTACTAATACCGAAATTCAAGCCCTTTTGACTCGTGCAAAGAACGGAGAGGCTATCGAACGTGAAGTGGTCATGAACACTGTGGCTTCACTACTGTCTGCCGATAGCGAACATTTAGGCGAACTCACAGGATCTATTGGTGATTTTGATATCCAATTTCGATAAATAAATAGCAAAAAAAGGTACCCAAGTCAAACGCCTTTTTTATTCACACAGTACGGTACATCACAAATGAAGGGAAGGTTACATTATCTTGCGACACATTTGTACACATTTCAGGTCTTGATCCCCGCTTGGAACTAGACGCATCAAGAATGCCGCCTCCATGAGTTGTGTATACAGTACTTTTTTTTTGGATATTTCTCGTATATTGGTTATCATGTGAATCAAAGTGAGTGTTTGTAGAATCAAAATGGGTTTGTTTATCAAAGTGAGCCAGCTTTCGAGCACAATGCTATGCAAAACACCCGACTTTTCAGGTGAGATGCAAGAGGAGCTCTTTATCTTTTCTTTCCTGAGGAAATGACTTCATCATTTAGTAAAGTAGTTTTTTTACTGGTAGCATCAGGCATAATTTATAAGCTGGAGATATTATTGTAAAGTGTAGCTTTGTTTGAATGAGGTCAATCTCTAACACCTTTGCATGTTGCATTAGAATTTGCATTTTGAATGGGCATTTTACAACAAATAGATCGATCAGATAGGAAATTGCGCATCAAAATCAAAAATAAACTAGTAATTTTTAGCCATGTTGCTTTCTTTATCGACAATTCTCCCCAATTAAGCTTTTAAATGCATTAATTACCTTCATGATGAGGAGGATGATGATAGCACTGGTTTTGCCAGCTGCCGGCGTCAGAAATTTTTCAATTCCCGCTTTACATTTTGTTCTGATTTGATGCTTTTCATAATTTTTGGACACAATCCGACCTATTTTGCCACATTCGACTATGTAAATTGTGATGATCATCACCTACTTCCTAATGCGTCCCTGGTGGTAGGGCGAAGTGGTAGAACTCCCGTATGCCAACGGGAGGATCCCGGTTCAAATCCTGGTGAACGCAAGTTGTTTGATTTTTTTGACGTAGTACTGATGTCCTCGTTTGGTGTTTTGTGCTCTTATCCATGATCTATATTTTGACGATTTCCGCAAGACTGTACTGGCTCTAGGAGTCGCACCTTATTAGTAGTAGATTTCTTTCCCAACTTAGTTCAAAAAATATCTTATTCCCCTTCTTTGCAGACATTGGGTCCACCAACAGTCTTTTCTATCCCTCAGCATGACATTTAAAGGACTTTAAATAAAACCTGGAGCTCGACTTCCCTACAAAAAAAAAAAAAAAACAAAAAAAAAACTACTTCCTAATGCTTCTTTGAAGCTCTTTTCAAGGCACATCCAATGGTGCACAGAAAATTAGTTGCTTCAAATAAACTTATTGTACAATGATTGAAAATATAAAATGAGGTTTTTGGCAAAAATGTCAAGATTTTGCATACAAATGTTCCACAAATAAGGTTTCAGAGGCTGCGTTGGATCAAGAGGAACATTTTGATATAATATATGATGTAGTAAAATCCTTCATTTTTGAGGTCAAAAACGCAATCAATTGATTTTCAACAAAATCCATGAGGGATACCTCATGCTTTTTGAGCCATGTTTTTTTGGTCCCAAAAATGTTGAGCAAAGGTATGGGAAAGTAAGTGCTGGATGAGAGTGATAGTATGGCGTTCTTCTGGCAGCTAAAAGCGGCTTTTAGCACGAGAAAACTAGGATCAAATGCATCCAATATTCGCTGCATTTTGCATATTTTTGAATAGTAAAACACGATGCTGGTATCCTGTCTGCCCGTATATGAATTGTTTCTATTGATGCATACGTGGATCAGCCTAGAGGAGTCAGATTTACAGATACCACAGTCCGTATACAAGATCCACGCGTGATAATAGACACTCAAATAATGAAATTTCATATCCTGTTAGACAGCAAAATGGATATTTTCAGAAACTACTGAAACTAGCATTGTTTGCACATTGCCGTACGCTTTTTTAAGGTATTCTTCAAGTGTAGATGCATCAACAAGTACTGTGAAAGGCGTTGGCGATCTTTTAGGGCGGTGCAATACATTTACTTGGTAAGCACATTTGCAACGGCGATCCTTTTGGTACATAACAACAAGCCTCATTTAGAGCCAATCAAGGCGTTTTACATAAACGACAACAAAAGGTGGTAATCCCCATCTTTTTCATCTTGCTCTTTCATTCCCTTTTTCTTTTCTTTCACATATCAAAAGAGAGAATCATGTCACAGACATTGTCTACATTTGCTTTTCTGTTTCCAGGAAATGCAATGGTCAACTCTTTGCTAGCCACGTCCTACATCTCCATTATTCCCAATTTACTTCTTTACTTCGTTCCTCCCGATATCAAGCCAACTACATTAAATACGCTGGTCAATTTCGCAGTGGGTAAGAACGAGGGTTGCAGGGCTGCCAGCACACGCATTTCTGATTCATTCACGTAGGTAGTTTGCTGGGAGACGTATTTTTGCATTTGTTGCCACACGCATTTAATAGTCATGAGCATCATGAAGACAGCAACCATAGCCACCACAACCACGATACCAAGTCAATTCAGCATGGTAGCAATGATGAGCACAAGAGCGTGTTGATTGGATCAGGTATATTTGCTGGGCTATTCTTCTTTTATGCAGCAGATAAAGTTATGAGAGCATATTTTGGAAAGATGGGACACGATCATGGACATGATCATGGTAAAAAACACGATGAACATGTTGTGGATCAAGTGGCTGTGAGAGAGGGCATGCGTCAACGCAAGCCTAGTAAAGACAAAGAGCAGACCAAAGAGACAGAGCACAATCATCGTCAACACGATCACCATCACCATGCGCCCTCAGCAGATGTGAAAGCCAGCACCTACCTCAACCTATTGGCTGATTTCACGCACAATCTCACTGACGGTATCGCTATGGCTGCCTCGTTTTATGCTTCACCAGCCATTGGTGCCACTACTGCTGTTGCTGTCTTTTTTCATGAGATTCCTCATGAAGTGAGCGATTACGCAATTCTATTGCAATCCGGCTTCAGTAAGAAACGTGCTATGATGGCTCAATTTACAACCGCCATTGGTGCCTATATTGGCACATTTATTGGTATCTTTATCGAAGAAATGGCTCACAGTAATGCCTCTCATAACAAGCACGATCACGATCATCATCACTCGCACGGATTGTTAGGTACCAGTATGACATGGGGCGATCTCATTATTCCCGCCACAGCTGGCGGATTTTTATATATCGCGACAGTGGGTGTAATTCCTGAACTATTGGAGAGCAAAAGCAACAGTAAACTACAACCATTCAAGGAATTGGCAGCAATGATATTTGGTATGGCATTGATGGCTTGCATTGCTTGGAATGAATCTCATCACCATTAATACCCCCTCCTCACTCGTACAATAATATATATTCAAGCTTACATTTGTTCTATTTTGCACACTTTTTTTTGAATTCTCACCTATATACATGTAGAGTATCAATAAAAAAAATCAAATCATGTAAATCGAAATGGACAATTGGTTCCTGAATCCTATGCAACCAATGAGAGAGCGGATATCGGGTATTGAATGCCATCCGGAAGGGAAGAGATAGGCAGACCCGCTCGGTATATGGCTGTCGCAATGCCACGCAGAGTAGAGATCCTTCTTTTAATTATTCAATACAATGGTGCGTACCACTATAGGATGATGAGAGTAATGAAAGAAAGAGACAGAGAGATAGATGGGAGAACGATTTGCTATTGTCTTGAAATGTGGATGGATGTCGATCAGTGTCGAGAGATGATTTAGTGGATGGATGTACTTGGAGATGGATGTCAACATGGATTGGATGGATGGATAAGATCAACATGTGGATTGTGGATATATCGTAGACCTTGAATCGATAGATACGGCAGAAACTCGGCATGGATCAACGGATGGACAGTGACACGCTGGATGAGATGTATGGATGCATTTTCAACATGCGGATGCACAGGCTCATGCAATCACTACACTCATGCAATCTCTCTTGTTTTATTTCTTTTCTACTTGAATCCATTGCAACAAACAGGCGATAGAGACTAACAATTCACTCATTATAGGCCGACGCTTCTACTGTCACCATTCGCACTCGTAAGTTCCTTACTAACCGTTTGCTCCAACGTAAGCAAATGGTCGTCGATGTCATTCACCCTGGACTCGCCAACGTCTCCAAGGACGAACTCCGTACCAAGATCGGTAAGATGTACAAGTCTGATAAGGAAGTCGTCTCTGTCTTTGGTTTCAAGACCCACTTTGGTGGTGGAAAGACCACTGGTTTCGCTTTGATCTACGATAACGTTGAGGCCTTGAAGAAGTTTGAGCCCAAGCACCGTCTTGTCCGTATTGGTCTTGCTGAAGCACCCAAGGGTGGCCGTAAGCAACGCAAGGAAAAGAAGAACCGCGAGAAGAAGTTCCGTGGTGTCAGAAAGTCCAAGAAGCCCAGAAAGGAGTAAACTTGATATCGTGTTTGACTCTATGCAATCTCTTTATTGCAATTCAATCGCTCTCCTTACGTCCTTGCTTTTTTATATTGCTTGAAATCCAAACATTATTAAAAAACTATACAATTAAACACATGGTAATTATGCTAGAGAAAACGGATGGAGAGAAGAGTGTAAAAGAGGAGCGAATATTGTAGGCGGTAGCCGCATATAAGAGATTAGTAGAAAGCAGACATTGGATCTTGCATAATGTAAGCACTTATAGCAATGCTGGTCGAGACATCTTGTTATTAAACCATCAGTTACTACATTCATTAAGCGTGCATACATGTAGACAGGGCATGAATCTCTGAGTGTGTTGGTAATTTTCAACTTTGTATTTGATAGCTGGTAGCTTCGAACTAGCTATGGCGAGCATTTTTAGGAACAAAGCTACTTTACTTTCAACAGCAGCATGATCAATTAAAATACAGTTGTTGGAGTGTTGAGTAAAGGTGCTGCATTCTGTTTTTTTTCCATTTCACCTTCTTTCTCTTTTTTTTTCCCCCCTTAATACAAACACTAGACAGAATGGGCATCTTGTTTAGTAATTTATGGAATAAACTGTTCTCCAAGACTCAAGTTAAGCTCATCATTGTGGGCTTGGATAATGCAGGCAAAACGACGATTCTGTACAAACTGTGAGTACCAGTCAAGATATATATATATATATATGGTACAGCGCTGACACACACGATTAGGCTCATGAACCAGATAGTTACCACCACACCGACTATTGGAAGTAACGTGGAAGAGGTTGAATACAAGAATCTAAAGTTTGTTATGTGGGTAAAGTATCCAAAGTATCAAGGAGAAGGTTTAATATGAAGATATTAAATGAAAATCCTTATTGTTTGGGAAATGAAAATTAGGATATAGGCGGTCAAGAATCCCTTCGAAGCACATGGAAGACCTACTATATCGATACAAAGGTAAATGGGAATGGCCATATACACTAGACGGCCGAACATTAAATTATGGGCTTAGGCTGTGATTATGGTGATTGATAGTACGGATGTTAATCGACTTCATTTGGCGGAACAAGAACTGCATCAAATGATGGAGAGCGATGTAAGTTCATTATGATAGAATAGAGATACTGATGCGCTAATGCCATGAACCGTAGCAATTACAAAATGCCAGTTTACTCGTATTTGCAAACAAGCAAGATGTGAAGGGTTCATTGGGTGCAGCAAAGATCTCAGAGGCGTTAGGACTCAGTAAATTAAAAGATAGACAATGGCACATTCAGGTAAATCTCAAAAGGGGTATTCCACATGAGAGCTGTGTTTTGACTTAAAAAAAACAATATAGGCTTGTTCTGCATTGACAGGAGAGGGGTAAATATATAGAGTATTGGGCAGTTTTCGTGAATGTTAATTTATATTTGCCCTGTTTTTTATAGGCTGTATGAAGGATTGGATTGGGTCGTATTACAGATTGCAGGATCATAAATTGTACAATAACATGTCAAACGAAAGAAAAATTATTAATATTTGATAAAAAAATGTGTGAATAGAATCATATACACAGTGATGAGGGCTGACGAAAAGGAGCATTTGATCTGCAACAAAATAACGTTTCAAATGGGTTGGACGGTAGATGCTTCGAGCCATTCTTCCATAGAATGGCTTACCGTATCTATAAATCTCGCAAAACACCAAAAACAGTATACAAACACCTGCTGTAGTGTGCCGTCATAGTAACCACCAGTAGAGGGCATGCAAGCTCACTCAAATGACCGAAAGGTGTAGACAGACGATTGCACGTGCTTTAGCATTGTAATTGGTATAGTGAAAATTCATCGCCGCAATCTAGATGCCCATTGGTACCACATCATGTCAAATAAACCAAAATAAAACTGTGTGAATGGAATCATCTACGATTATAAAAATAGGGGAGACCCAAGGAGAACACATTTGATCTGCAAGCTAGAACTGTAAACATCTTGGGCAAACCTCGTGCAATCACGTCTCTGAACGGCCCTGACGCATGGTTGTAAAGGTAGAACTTTCTAAACCTGGCTTAGCACTACTAGTGCAAAATGTTCTGTATATGCAGATTTTTCCTATTTGTTCTATATAAGAGAAAAGCCTTGATTTTTTCCTTTCTCCCTCTTTCTCTCTCGTATCCTAATAATACCTGTATCCATATAGAGTATTGCAAATATGAGATCTATCACAGCAATTCTGGGTTTTTGTAAGTGATAAAATGGTGTCCACACAAAGCAAAGGCTAACTGTCAACTTTTTGGTATAGCCCTTATTGCTTATTGTTCCGTAGTGTTTGCTGACACATTGTACAGCGTTGTATCTGATGATCCAACATTAGATATCGGTGTCATCATCAACAACAATGTCTACAAATTGAAACCGTCTGCTGACAGCAACATCTTGTTTCAAGGCATGGCTCCCTCCAATGCCAACTATTTCTATGCCAAGCTTCAAAAAGATACTACTAATATTGTGAAACAGGAAAATTTCACTCGTTCTGCAGTTTCTGCCAAACAAACGCTCAACGAATTCTTCAACCGCAACTGGAATCGCAAAGATATGGCCACCTTCAAGCCTATTAGTAGTATCTCTAAAAACTTTAACCGTCGGGCCGATGATGAATTACATCCTGTTGGAGAAATTCCTACGATTCATGTCATTGCTGCTCAAACCGACATTGATAAAATACACAACCATTACAAGCAAGACATTGAGGTCAAAGTGAATATGACCTACATTAGGTAATTGTTTGCTGAGGCATTTCAGTGTCGTATCTAGACTGATGTTCTATGTATAGTACCAACTCGGTCAGGACATTCAGTAACGTGAAATTCGAAATTGGTGGTCGATCTTCTCGTCAGTTCACCAAGTTTGCCTACAACATTAAACTGGATAAAAAGAAGGATGATGACACTTTAAGTGGTTATCAAAAGCTGAAATTACGCACCACCGTCAGTGATCCTAGCTACATGCGTGAATTCATAACAACAGAAATGCTCTATGCTGCAAATCAGCCTGCAACCAAGGCATCGTACGTCAGGTAAAAATCAAGACCACTGGCTTGTGTATGGCACTTTGTTTACGCTAATAGTCATCGATTTGCAGATTGTTTATCAACGATAGAGCCATCGGTTTATTCACGCTGATGGAAAAGTACGACAAGGATTGGCTTGCTAATGAGTTCAATGCTGGCGGAAGCAAATACCCCCAGGGCATTCTGTATGAAGGAGAAGGTGGAAGAAAAGACTCTGTGCGAGCTGATTTGTCCTATAAAGGAGATAACCCATCTGCCTACAATGCTTCTGCATATTCTGTTGCAGAAAAGTCAAAGTTAGGGGTTGAAAGCTTGGATGATTTGACCACCTTTATCAAGTTTATTCATGATCAGCGTGAATTCCAAAAAACTGCTAATGCCGAAGCTATTTCAGCCACTGTATCTGAATGGGAAAAGCAACTCGATGTAGAAAACTTTCTTGTAGCGTAAGTAGACCCAACGTCATTCTACTCCTAATAGGGATACTCATCACATGTTGATAGTATGGCATTCGAGTTTCTTCAAGGCTTCTGGGATGGCTATCTGCAAAACTCAAACAACTACTTTCTCTACAAGTCTCCTGAAACAAATCGCTTTGTGTGGATCTCTTGGGATTATGACTATGTGATGGGAAGTGGCCCAGTGAATATGAAAAGTCTGGTGCAAGGCGATTACACAAGCTTCAAGGGATTCGATACAAGACCTTTGACCATCGCTCTCCTGAATGTACCTGAATTCAAGACCATGTTTGAAAAGAACTTGAAGACCATTGCTGATGAGATTTATAATCCTACCAAAGCCAATCCTGTTATCGATTCAGTTGCTAAACTTATTCAAGATGATGTCGCTTGGGATCAAACACTGCCTCATGTCAGAAAGGGACTTGAGTTCTGGACATTTTCATTAGAGAACCTGAAATACGGCAACTTTAACAATAATACAAACCAAAACGAGGGCATCCCATCCACGCTCAGTGTCACTACTGGTGCTGAATTTTTGATTCGTTTGAATACCAAGGTGGATTGGAAGAAGGCTGTTGCCGGAAATACAGGGCATGTGTCGTTGTATGGCGTTAAAGAGTGGATCAGCGCAAAGTACAGTAACTTTAACAAAAAAAACTCTTATAAGCCTCTGCTACCTTTTCTTCCATTGAGGAATTAGAATCAGTTTATTTATCATGCAGTGATATTCGCTTTTCAATAAAAGTAAATTCTCGAACTACATTCAAATGTTACTCAATCTCCGTATCAAGCTGCATACTATCTTGTTACTGCGCGTTAACCTCTATATGGAGGCCAACCCCTTTTTTCTTGAATTCATTTATTGTGCAATACATGTCGTGTATCAAACAACTCCAGCCTGCTGAAATATGGATGGTGGTGCTTGGCCATATACATGACGCGAAAATGATGGCCGAATGCCGCTTGATTTGCAAGAGTTTGAAGCCTCTGGTGGGCCAGTGTTTGTACAAATCAATGAGCATAAACTGCAATGACTGGGCAGAGGAGTGCTTTCTCAAGCTGATCAAGCATCTATCCAACATTCCTGACCTCTGTCATTTGATCCAGGTTATTGACTTGAGAACGTTTGGATTCGAGGATGATGTATTCAAAACCTTCTTGCCATTTGAGATGAAAAGATCGATGGATTATACACTCATGGATGACAATGAATTAAAGCTCTGGTTGGCAAAGAATGTTTAGACAAACCAGGCTACAACATCCCTAAATATTCGAACTCAAAGTGGAGCACAGTTCAACGTCAAAGTCGGTCCAAAGTTGGTACGCTATTTGGTACACAAGTGTCCCCATATCAACACATTCATCGTCCTAAATCTGATCATCGCACAGAAAACTGTTATTCTGCCAAATCTTAGCAGCCTAAAGGCATACGAACTAACGTCGTGGCGATTTCGAGGACTTGAGCAACTGGCGTGTTTATGGAGGCGTCAAAAGGCCGGGAAAACACGATTCGCTTAAAGTACGACATCCCTTACATTGATAATGTTAAATGGCTAGTCTGGAGTAGAGGAGCATACAAAGACTAAAGAATCATATATACGAGCGTAACGAGATTGCATCTAATTCAGTATTCGGTAATATTAGTCTTAATGGGGTTTACCGTAGCCAAGCAAAGGTGAAAAACTATAGTGTTCAAGCAGTAAATTTGGTTTCTCATTTTGATTATTAATAAGCTTACCAACAACATAACGCATCAAAATTTGCATGAATTGGCTTTACCAAAATTAAATAGGCCTCCTATTCGAATTAGAAGTTACATAGACTGCAGAACTGCCCTTCCAGAAGACTTAAGCTACTAAAGATGTGATTCATGCCGTGTAAACAAAAGCCATAAAGAAAAACATAACCAAATTGGATAGTTTTTAAGCCTTCATATCTTGACATGTAGACCTTTCTGAGCCACCGGAAAGACGCCAAACAATTGTACTTGAGTAGTAGTAACTTCCTGACACCTTTGCTCAACTTTTTGGACCAAAAAAAAAAAAAAAAAAAAAAAAATGGCCAAAAATCGACCAAAAACCATGAGGTTCTACCCCTCATGGTCTCCATCGAAAATCAAACGATCGCGTTTTCTACCTTGAAAATGAAGACTTTTACTACGGCATATATTAATTCAGAATGTTTCTCTCAATTCAAAGCAACCTCTGAAACCACTTTTATGAGGTTTTCTTATGCAAAATCTGGCTATTTTCGCAAAAAACCTCATTTCAAATTTTATCAAATTGCTCAATAGTTTCATTCAAAACATCTATTACAATTAGTACCATTGGAAGCGCCTTAAAAAGTACCCCAAGAATGTATTAGGAAGCGTTGGGTGATCATCACAATCTATATAGTCGAATCTCGCAAAATAGTTCTTTCAAGTCGAAAAAAGACAAAATCTGTCCAATCTTGAACAGAAAAAAATACCTGAGTTTGAATTAATTTTGGCGGCGACGCTGCTGCTGGCTAACCCAAATACCTTTCTGATGATGACAATAATGATGATTGCAATACTAATTAAATGGGGATCATAGAATTGAAAGAACAGTTGTTTAGTCCGAAGATTTTGCTTTTCTTGGTAATTTTCCCTGTAAAGGCGTCTTTTGCAATGACAATATCTCAAAAAAATCATTGTAGATCTTATACAAGTCCTGTATTTATGCATGGCCAGTTTTATGTCGCCATCTCAGGAGCAACAGCAGCAAATGGTATGACAATACTACTACCAAAAAATGTGGCGCAAACGGAGAATGCAGCATAAAACCTGAACTCTTTTTCATATCGTTTCAATAATAGCTTTCGTCGATACCAGTGTATAAGCAAAAGGAGAAGGATGCATGGAGGAATACCTCCCCTTCTGACTCTAATATACTATTAATTGGTTGTTTAGAATCTACTTGATATGCCAAATTTTTATTATCCTTGATCTGGAATGTGTTTGACGACGAGAGCCCACAAGGCGACACCGTTATCAAGTGTAGCGAGATTGATCGGTTAGTTTACTACATACTCGATTGCAGATATTATGTTGCACAGATATAACTGGTATAGCACATAGGAGACAATCTTGTAGTCTTTTTTTTTTTTGGAAAAAGGGAGGCCAATTTCATTATGAAATAGAGACGATGAACATCTGATATGATACTTTTATTTTACATACAGTAATACACACTTGATTATTATCAACATGAACGACATGTCTCTACATACTTCAAGACTGAGGACAAGCAAAGCCGCCAGTGGCAGGTGTAGCAATCACTGTTGGTTTATATCCCAACCAATCGAGACCAAAGAAATGTAAAGTGATCCAGAAATGCAATGGCAACGCTTCTCTTTGATTTGTGTTTGCTGTTGACACACTGTTTTCAGGAGTATTAAAAGGGACCATATGCTGCGGAGAACACGCTTTACAGAGATCGACAAAGGTGGTATCCGTACTATCTCGTGCTTGGTAATCGACACGGATGGGCAGCTGGATGGTAGAAATGGCGTTGGGAGCCAGCACGATATGCTCAGGATTGGGGTCATCGTTGTGTAACCCTTTTCCTATGATCAGGCCAGTCAAAGCGTCCTTGGCCAACGCCTGGATTTGTACTAATCGTGTAGGTACGTGGTTTTGTCGGTTATCCACCGTGATATTCACTAGCCATTCGCTTTCAAATGCAACATTGCCTACCATGACGCCCTGTCTGGTTTCTGTGATTTTGGCGGGAGTGGTGAGTGAGGCACCTTCAATGCGCATCAGTGGCGTCCGAGGCCATAAAAAGTAAGCAATGAGAACGGCCACAATCAAGCTAAGAAAAGTAAAGAAGACCCAGCCCCTCCTACCACAACCTCGCTTCTTGGCAAGTGATTCTTGCTGTTGCTGTTGCTGCTCTATCTCTTTCTCTCGTTTTTGCTTTTGGCGCTGTTCAATGATGCGACGACTGGGTCTTTGTCCACAGCTTACAAAGCAGCAACCAATCCAGAATCCACGGCTGCGATGCTCATAATCATCATCATCCTCTGCTGGAGAAGAAGAAGATGGCTTTTTCTTGCTGTTGAGTTTTGCTCTGGATCCTGCTGGACTCATGTTGCGAGTATCGTAGCTAGCCTTCTCTTCATCGTCGTAATCATGCTCCTCTTCCTCCTCGTCATTATGGTAACCCCATTGCCGTTCATTTTGATAGTACTTTTGACCATAATGGCCGATTTCGATATCGTCATAGTCGTCATAACCACCGTGCTTTGTCGAGTAGTCATCGCTCATAGTGATGGTGCGTTTGTCATCAGCGACAGGAGAATCAACAAAGCAATCACTCAGCGAAAAGGATCGATGATCGATGGTAGCGTTCTTTTCTGATTCAATGAATTGCGCATAGATGGGTTTCTTTTGTTGTTGCTGTTGCTGTTGCTGTTGCTGTTGCTGTTGCATATGGTGTTGTACCAGCGTATCTTGGCTTCCAAAGGGTCGACTGTTTCTTCCATGTGGTGGGCCTAAATTATTCAATACAGAACTGGAAGCAGAGGAAGGCGACAGGGACAAATCCAGGTTGAGAAATGAGGTGGTGTTATCATCAAATAGAGTGGATCTTGATGTCTGCTGTTCCGATGGATGCACTATGTATGTCAATTAAGCATATGCCTCTTATTTATGCATCTAAGGGCATATGTATATAGTTACCTTGTGAAGGCTTTCGGGCTGATGTAGCTCTGATATTGCCATTGATCACTCCCATATCCAGCTCATCCGCAAAGGATGCTGCACGTGATCTAGTTGTGTCTGGCGTAGTAGGGGTGAGTGTACTAGAAGACTTCATAAATGCACTAGCAATGGTCAATCTTCCAGGCACAGGGTCTGTTGTGCTCATGCTGCTGTTATTTGTGGTATTGAGGGTCTTGCCTGAGAAGGACGAATGGGATCTTTCTCTGTATTGCTGGATACTCTGCATCGAGTTAGTGGATGAGCTGGTGTTGTTTGTGTTCATAAACCGATCCGCTACAGAAAGACGACTGTTGCTACCAGCAGTTGGGATGTCTGATAGAGTGGAATTCGATAAAGAGGTGGATACAGATGGCGAGCACTTTTGTGCAGCTGTTGTTGTAGGTAATGGTGGTGCCTGAGAGAGTACGGGCGTCGAGGTGTTGGAATAGCCTGATGCCATAAAACGGTCTGCTATGGAGAGTCTTGGTGGGTCTTCTATGACAACAGCAGGTACTGATGGTCTTCGATTTTGCTGCTGTTGTCTCTGCTGCTGTTGTTGTTGCTGATGGCCTGAAGCACCTGCCGATACAGACTTTGATCGCTTCTGAGTTGCGGCATGCCGTGTTGCAGAGGTAGATGCAGTGGGCGTAACTTTTTCTGACTGTCTGCGTAACGAAGATCGACGCTTGGTTCTACCAGATGTTCTGCCCAATGAACCAGCAGCAGCAGAAGGACGTCTTGGGTGTGAATGTGTTGCCACCATATGGAATTGATGTTGCTAGAAGGTTGGTTCAAGATGAAGAAAGAAAAGGGAAAGAAAGAAAAAGGGAAGCAAGGATTTGGGGGGAGTAAATGGATGGGATAGAAGAATGTATATCTCATTTACACTATAAAAGATATGTCTTGTATAAGGAGCTTTGTTCAAACCTGCTGCTATTGCTGCTGATGCTGCTTTTGTGTTTTGCTGCTGTGAATCTTCTGCTCATATCATGATAAACTCCTCCTCCTCCTCAACTTTCTCCCCTCTCTTTCAAATATAGATTGAATGATCCCTTTCTTCTTTTACTTGCTCTCCTCTTGATGCCCCCCTTTTACTTTTCTTTCTTTTTTGTTCGTATAAACTGTATATAACATGTCAACGTTTTAATACATTGATACGACATGTCTTTTCTCTTGTGATAGACATGGGTGCTTGGCCGTGCACTCCTTGTTAAGTTGAAGCGGGAAACTATGATTACACCCAGTGAGGGGAGATCCTCTATGCTCCTTGATTCATATCAGAATACGCGATACAACAACTTCTTCTTCTTTATGGAATATTGACAACTTGTCATCATTCAATATTTTATTAATAGACGTTTGAAATTCATACATTGTATAGGGGGGGGGGTGCCATCTTGTTGTATTTGCAACGCCTAATCGAAAACGGCATTTAACAAGCAGCTTGCAGAAACACTCAAACAAGGAGAAAAGCCCCAAGGTGCTACTACGATCAGATGGAGCCTCTCTATTCATTGTATCGACCAGTTACACCAAATCTATATATAATAGTAATTAGCACCAGGCGAATCAAATGAACCATTTCATTAATCTTGTTTGAAACTCATTATTGGCTTGCTTACACAAATGCTCTTTTAGCTTGAAATCCTCTATTTCTCTCTTCTTTTTCTTTTCCTCACTCTTACAAAAATGAAGTTTACAAACCTTGTTATTTGCTTATTTTCTGTCGCTTTGAGCCTAGTGTCAGCACAACAAACGGTTCAAAGTGGCGCAAGCACAAATGCTGTCATTTCACAATATGGCAGTACATTTAAAAATGCCGGTGGAAGTGTTCTTCATGATAAAGTCAATGGTAAAAAAAAAAAAAAAAAAAAAAAAAAAGCATCAGCCCCTCCCCTCCCCTCCCTCCTTTCTCTTGCAAACCCCTAACAACAATCATTCCTAGTGTACATTATTTTTTACGGCAATTGGTCTTCCACAGAAGCTCAGCAAGAACAAACTATATTTATGAATTTCATCGATAACATTTCATCCAGTCCTTGGTTCAGCTTATGTAGGTGGCAATTCTCGAATCTAATTTATTTATAGCGGGTAACTCAATCTCCTTAATTTCTTTCCAGTGAAACAATATACAGACAAGAACGGAAAAGCTGTTACGGGTCCTCTCAATTTAGCTGCTGCTGTCAATGACGCTGGAAGTCATACACTCAACTTGACAAACACAATTCACAAGCAAATTGTCTTGGATGCCGTCAATTCAGGCTTTCTTTCACCTGTCAACCGTTTGGATAGTAATGGCATTTACATCATTATGGGTGGCCCAGATGTGTCAGACAACGATTTCTGTAAGGTTAATTGCGGCTACAATGGTTACAGTGATGAATTTCAATACATGTTTATTGGCTATCCCGGCATTTGTCCTGATACGTATGTACACACTCCTATCTGGAGATGAGCCATTGTGGCGCTAATATCCTGTGTTCTTTTCTAGATGCATTCCTTCAGTCAACAAAGCTTCATCACCCAACAACTCACCTGCCATGGATGCCGCCATCACTATTTTCTCCCATGAAATCCAAGACATCTTGACAGATCCCAGAGGCGATGGTTGGGAAATTCAAAATAGCAACGTTACAATTGAATTGGGTGATTTCTGTTCTGGACAAGGCACCAGCTCAGATCAATTCGGCAACATTACCCAATCCAGCACGGGATCATACAACATTGAAGTCAACGACCGCAAGTATTTGGTTCAAACTGTGTTGGATCTCTCAGCACAGCAATGCAAACTTGGATAAATATGTTGTATATACCCTCCCTACCTATTTTCACCTGTCAAAAATACTCTAACTTCATCAAACTTCATATTAAACATGTGGAAGATTTAAATTCTGCATTCTGTATTTTTTCTTTTTACTCTCTATCTCTATACAACCTGTCCATCTTTTTTTATTTCTCTAAATAAATAGCAAAGTTTAGACCTCCTCATAATGCATCGGCCAAATGTTGCTGTCATCTATACAAACCTCATGCCCTGCAAATCATGAGCAAGAATAGTGAGACGTTATCTTGTTGATCTAATGCAATAAGATCAACACCAGACTCCATTTGTTTGCATACACAAATCGTGAGTTGAGTGTTTGAAACGATTGGTCAAAACCGTCAATTAACAATGAAATCAACTAGAGAGCATGTATAAAAGACCACATCAAATTCTTGCGACAATGCTTTCTCGTCACTCATCTCAATCACAAATGAAATTCATCTCTTGTATCAGCGCTCTCTTGGCCCTTTTACTGACTCAATATGTGGTCTATACGCAAGCCGGCTTGGCTCCAACCAAGCATTATGATGAATGCGATTGTTTCGTCTACCGCGGCGGTGCTATCTGCCCTGGATCTACCTTTCAATTTGAAAGCCAAGGCAAGCATGGCTATTGTAAGGAAAAGAGACTGGATGAAAATGGCAAATGCAAATGCTATGATTGCGACTCTTGCTATTTGATCAACTTATTTGACTATCGCTAGGTACATATGTAATATTTATTTAAATTGTAATAAATGGCTGTATTCCTCGAGGTCAGGAGTATCATCGAGCTCTCTGTATTCAATGTCTGTGTTGGGCAACAATTTCTGCAAAAGTTGTTTGGACTTGCTCTCACAGTCTTCTTGGTCTTTCAGCGCCAATGCCTCAAGGTGACATTCCTCCAACACAAGCCTTTTCACCTTGCTATCAAAAGGCGCCTCGGTATCTCGACTGATCACCAAAGTAAAGAAATCCATCTGCATGGATTCCAATAATGGCACAGATGCCAAAAGGTCGTCCAATGGCACACGATTACTATTAGGATCATCCACTTCTTCTTTTGACTGATTGATTCTCAAGTGCTTTAGATGCTTGATGTTGCTAAGAGCTTTCAGGAATTTCTTCTCTCCGCTGCATACCATGCCCTCGTAGGATGTATTCGAGACAGTTAGTGAGGTCAATGTGTGGATTTGTTGTGATTTCATGAGTAGCTTGAAAGCTTCTCCAGCAAAGAAATCTAGCTCTATCTTTTCCAATTGAATCCCAGTATTATCCATTGCTTGGAATACGGCAGGCGTCAGCTTGAAGCAGTTAGTACTGTAAAATTCAAGTTTAGGAACCTGCTTAATGAGCTTGATCAGACCTCTTGTCTCTGTATAAACGACTTGGTCATTGTTCATATTTTCTGCGTTTCTGATGACCAGGTTCTTTAGATTGGGGTACTTCTTGGACATGTAGACTAGCCATTGATCGAAATCAGATACAACGGTGAAATTGTCAATAAACAGTGTTTCCAGTTTCTCGGCGTGCTTTGGTATTCCTTTGTAATTGCCCAATGGCAATCCCACCTGTGTAAGAGAGAGAAGCTCTAGGTTCGGCAGGTGTGTGTGTATTTGCTCCATATGCTCAATGGTGGTATTGATGTATTTGAGGTCCAGTAGCTTGACATTGGGGCAATTCTTCAGATAGTCGTACAATACAAACTTCATTTCTTCATCATCCATGCCTATCAGATTGAGACTGAGGTTCTTGAGTTGAGGACAAGCAGTATTGGCCAGTAATGAAAAGGCAGCGACAGGTGCTCCAAACTCTTGCAATGAAGTAAGTGTTCCAGCCCAAGGCTTGAATGCTTCACACACTTCCTTGTCATCATAGTCGCGTTGGGGGCGTTCTGTATTGAGATAGCTGAACTCTTTGATATTGGGAAACAGGGCAGGCAATGTCATGTACGTGTAGACATCCAGGGCAATTTCGGATACATGTAGCTTCTTTACTAGTTTACCGAGCTCTTTGTGTTTGGTGAACAGGGTGCGCATGTCTGCAAAGTTGTCCAATGTAGTGATCGTGACAGATTCATGAATGGCACCGGATGCTTGAATTGCAGTGTAAGCTGATTTATTGACTCGCAAACACTCGAGCTTCTCCTTTTTGGACAAATAGGAGAGGCAATGAAGCAGTAATTCAAGTGGAAGGCAATCAATCATGGTGTATCAAAGAGTAAAGAGTAAAGGGAGGAATGACATACGTTTGTTTTAATATAAAACACGTATCTCAGGCCGCCATATTCACAGTAATCACATTATTGGCTAATATAGGGGTTGTCCAAACATTGTTTGGCATTTGATAGCATAGATTGATATTTACAGAGATTTGAATAGTAGTAATTTTTATTCTAATTTTTTTTTTTGGTATTAAAGAAAGCAAGAAAAAGAAAAAAAAAGAGAGAGAGAGAGAGAGAAACAGACATCTATTATATTTACTTGGACTTTGCAGCCATTTCCTTCTTGTACTCTTGGATAAGAGCCTCTTGGACATGAGTTTGAACAGGTTGATGGTCCTTGTATTCCATGGAGAACTCACCCTTACCTTGAGTGGCAGATCTCAACTCGGTAGAGTAGCCAAACATGTCGTTAAGGGGAACATCAGCAGTGACATTAAAGTAATCTTCTTGGATTTCAGTGTCAACCACAGTTCCCTTACGCTTGTTAAGACCACCAATAACGGAACCTTGGAATTCGAGAGGAGCAGTAATAGCAACATTCATGATGGGTTCCAAAATGGTGGGCTTGGCCTTAGCAAAGGCTTCACTGAAGGCGTTCTTGGTAGCAATACGGAAAGCCAATTCACTGGAATCAACAGCGTGAGAAGCACCATCTTCCAAAACCATACGAACACCGTTGACAGGATGACCGATCAAAGGACCCTTATCAAGAGCATCATTGAAACCCTTTTCACAAGCAGGAATAAAGTTGGTAGGAATGTTACCACCAATAACACGGTTATCGAAAGCAGTATCCTTGCCAGTCTCTTCATCACGAGCCATGGGTTCAAGCTGACCAACAACACGACCGTATTGACCAGAACCACCAGATTGTTTCTTGTGGGTGTAGTTGAACTTGGCAGGTTGAGTGATGGTTTCACGGAAAGCAACACGAGGTTTACCAGTTAAGCATTCGACATTATATTCACGCTTCATACGTTCAACATAGATTTGCAAATGAAGTTCACCCATACCAGAGATAATGGTTTCCTTAGACTCGGAATCGACATGAACACGGAAAGTAGGATCTTCCTTTTGGAAACGATTCAAGGCCTTGGAAAAGTTGGGAGATTCCTTACCCTTAGGGACCAAAGACAGAGAAATGACAGGTTCAGGAACAAACATGGAGGTCATGGTGTATTGGAGACTGCCATCAGTGAAGGTATCACCACTAGCACAGTCTACACCAAACATGGCACCAATTTCACCAGCACCGAGTTCATCCACATCTTCCATATCAGCAGCATGCATACGAACAAGACGAGGCACCTTGATCTTCTTGCCAGTCTTAACATTAGTGATGAAAGAACCCTTCTTCAATGAACCTTGATAAATACGCATATAAGTTAGTTGACCATAACGACCTTCTTCTAACTTGAAAGCGAGACCGACAAAAGGACTGGTAGAGTAAGGCTTCAAATCGACCTTCTCTTCGCCCTTGCTGATATCCAAAGCAGTGTTGGTGACTTCGGTGGGATTAGGCAAGTATTCGACAATAGCATTCAATAAGGGTTGCACAGCAGTGTTCTTGAAAGCAGAACCCATCAAAACAGGTGTAAACTTGAGAGAAATAGTAGCACGACGGATAGCATCAATAAACTGTTCAGTGGTGGGGACCTCTTCCATCAAATAAATATCAGCAATTTCATCATCAACATTGGCCAATTGTTCAATCAATTCATGACGCTTCTCAGTGGCAAGTGGCATCAGATCTTCAGGAATATCACGTTCGATCAAATCCTGACCACTTTCACCTTCATTGTAAAAAGCCTTCCATCTAATCAAGTCGACAACACCGTTGAACTGATCTTCGGATCCAATGGGGATCTGAACAGCTGCAGCTGTCAATTTAAGCTTTTGTCGGAGTTGATCAATGATACGGAAAGGATTGGCACCAGCACGATCCATCTTGTTGATGAACGAAATACGAGGAACATTATAACGACGCATCTGACGATCCACAGTGATCGTTTGAGATTGCACACCAGAAACAGAGCATAAAATCATAACAGCACCATCCAACACACGCAAAGCACGTTCCACCTCAATAGTGAAATCAACGTGGCCTGTACATTGATCAGTATCCGCTTTTTCCCCCCACTTCTATTTCTCTCTTACCTGGCGTATCAATAATATTGATATTATTATCACCCCAACTAGCATAAGTAGCAGCTGATTGGATAGTAATACCCTTTTCTCTCTCTAAATCCATGGAATCCATCTTTGCTCCAACACCATCTCGGCCACGAACATCGTGGATTTCCTTGATACGGCCAGTGTAGTAAAGAATACGTTCTGTACAGGTAGTTTTACCGGAATCAATGTGAGCAGAGATACCAATGTTGCGAAGCTTTTGAAGACGTTCCTAGGGTTGCATTCCATTCAGTCCTCAATGCTGTTGATGATTTTCATTGTGTTTATACTTACAAGATCCTTGGCTTCAGCTTCAGATGATTGCCAACGACGACCGAGGCCAATAGGTAACAGAGAATAGGTATTTTGTGGGGCTGCCTGTACAAATGAAGCAGTAGCAGCCTTGAAAGATACCTTTCCCGGAATACCTCCAAGTAAGGAACGTACAAAGGACATGGTACGGATATTAAGATTTTATTATAAGAGTAATATAAAGAAAAAAAAAAAGAGAGAAATAGTGGGGGCATGTCAAATTAAAGCAAACAGGGGGAGGGGAACACCGGGAAAGGAAAGTGACCGTTGAAACGGGATGTTTCTCCAATCAATGTCAATGATCCTCGTTATGTACATTGAATGTCTATGGGGGTTTACGCTTGTTCACTGTTAAGCACACTAATGGCATGGCCAACAACAAGCACGGCTGGTGCCTTGATCTCTTTCTCCTCCACCAAGCTAGCCATGGCGTCAACAGATCCAAAGATAATGCGCTCCTCAGGACAGTTGGCATTTTCGATCCAGCAAATGGGAACATCTTGAGGGTATTGTCTATCGAGCAGCATGGATCTCAGTTCAGATGCTCTACCAACAGCCATTAGCACAACCAGGGTTTGTGTTATTCCATACACGGGCAAATCAGGCATGGATCCCTTGGTACCTCGGCCAGTAGTAATGATCACTTGATCAGACACACCTCTAAATGTCACAGGAATCATAGCAGCCATAGGTGCTGAGAAGGCACTTGAGATACCAGCAATCAATTCAGGCTCGAACCCACGTTCACGGAACCAGATAATCTCCTCGCCGCCTCTGCCAAACAACAATGGATCTCCAATCTTGAGTCTGACCACATGCAATCCCTTCTTGAGCCCATCCAAACACCATTGCATCAACTCCTCTTGTGCTTCGTCAGATTTACCAGTGAATTTACGAGCGATACGTAACTCGCCTTGCACGAGGTCCAAGATTTGACTAGGGATCAATCGATCGCTAATGACGAGATCAGCTTCCTCCAACAAACGCTTGGCTTTGACGGTAATCAACTCTGGATCTCCAGGCCCACCACCAATCAAGGTGATACGAGGCTTCTTGTCAGATGGCAAAATGGCATCAATTTCAGGCACGCCGCCCACAATAAAATACTCTTTCAATTTGCCGAAAGCAGTGTCTTCTTGCTCTTGTGTCTTGAGATCGTTCAAACGAGCCATGCCCTTCAATCCCCATTTATCGCACACCTTGGTAACCCAGGTCATACGCTTGCCAGAATTCTTCATCTCAGGCTCCCATTCTCTCACCTTGGCACGCAATTTACCCATCTTCTCGATGGTATCTCCCATATGGTCTGGTAAAGCATTCGCTGCAGCCACTCGCACCATGTTGGCTAATTTAGGTCCCTTGCCGTTGGTAGAAACAGCAATTTGAAGAGGTCCATCGCGGTGCTGAGACATGAAATAGAAATCGCACATGGGTGGCACATCAGCCACATTGACAGGAATGCGCTTGTCTCGACACAAGTGACCAATTCGCAGCGATTCTTCATGATCGTCCAGAGCTGTTAATACCATATCGACACCCTCTATATCCTGGTCGATGAAGTTGCGATCCCTCCACTCCACTTCCTTGTTTTCTATGCGGAATTTCACTTCTGGGTGAAGACCTGCTTCAGGAGACACAGTGATGACTTGTGCATCTGCGATCTTGAGAGAGACAATGCGTTGAGCAGCGACATTGCCGCCGCCGACAATGAGTACTTTTTTACCTGCGATTTGATAAGCAACGACAAGTGATCCCCCGCCTTGGATAGTTTCGTAAGTGGTGGGTGTATCTGTGTCAGACATGTTGTGTGTACGTAAGTGTTGAGTTGTGGAAAGTAGAAAGAAGAGCAAGGAAATTGAGATGTAGACATCTCATCTTTATAACCAACTGGAGTTGAGCAATCTAGAATGGTGTGCTTTATCGGAGATTGCTATTGGCATTTCCATGATTCATGGGCTACAAGCACTTATCTATCTTTCATCTCACGTCTCACAAAATCACAGGCATATAGAATTATGGAATCTGCTAATTCTGATTGAAAAGACAATGCATTCTCTTCAAAAGATTGAAGGCAATTACCGAGCTTGGTGGCCTTTGAAGGAATCACTATATGCAGCTCTAGAACCAGCAGCCTATTGAATGCGGAAAGTCTATCAAATTCGTTAAGAGCCCTGTGGGTAGATATGAGGCTTGCAAGTGTTGTTGAGAGCTTTTGAACGCTAGCGCGGTAGCAGTGTAGTTTGCTTGGAAAGGACGCTTTGGAATCTGGCAATCTCTTTAGTTTGTAATTCATATTGGGTGCTTTTCTAGCCACATCAAGCAAGCACCCGTTGTTATCCTCCACTATGCATGGCAGTGCTGTTATTGAGAGAACCTCCATCTTTCGCGTTAAAGACAATCTGAATAGGTTGACTACAGGTGCACTGTTGCCTTCGTTTATTTCGCCTTTTATAAGCTTGATGTGCTTAGCTAGATGAGGTTTCTCAAGCGGGCGATTGCGTAGTTTGACAAAACTGGCTCTTTGAACCGAGTTGATTTCTTTACTAATGATGGCCTCGGTTACTGGAACTCATTGTTTGCAAGACATTCTGTATTCATCCAATTTCACTACACAATTGACGTTGTTGAGTATACTGTACAGTACCTCGAAAGGCATCAAGTTGACGGTGGACATGATAAAAGAAAAGCTGATGGCTAAAAAAGAAGCAATGCTATTGTTGGGAGAAGCAATCAATATAAAAAGCAAATCGATTTGTTGATGTTTCAAGCTTAAGTCATGCCACTGGTACCTGGTGCATATCATCTCTCTAGCATCATGCCTGCCCATCCCTCTACTGAGTTTATCTAGATGCTACTCTATAACGGTATTCTATCAGTGTAGACTTTGTAACGTTTTACTATCATCCGAGGACCCTGCGTTACTGCGGATTCGACTTTTATACATTGATACACACATGTAGCAATAGAAACAATCCATGTATGGATAGACAATAAATTATGTTATCACTTACAACTCATAAACATGCAAAATACAGCGAAATTTGGATACGTTTAAACCATGTTTTCTAATGCTAGAAAACGCTTTAGACCTCCAGAATAGCACCAGACAATTGCTTTCGCCTAGCCTTTACTTAATGGCACCTTTGCTCAACTTTCTGGGGACCCAAAAAACATGGCCAAAAATCTAGCAAAAAGCCACCAAGTCCAAAATGCCCTCTATTGCGCTTCTTCTTGATCAAGAAAAAGCGTATAATCGCATCCATTTCTCATACCTTGATGCCATGATGCAGACCTTTAACATCCCCAGTGCACTCATTACCACTATTTTGAATCTGTTTTCGAGCACCATAATCCAGCCAAATGTCAACGGTTTCCTATCCTCTCCTTTGCCATAATTACGAGGCCTTAGACAAGGTGACCCACTAAGTCCCTTGCTCTTCAATATCGCGTTTGATCCATTTTTGCGAGCAGCCCACAACGATGACCGTATCCAAGGCTTTCCATTCCCTTCAGAACCTCTATCTAGGGCTGTCCCTGCTCCAGTCAAGATCCTTGCCTATGCTGATGATACTTTAGTCACCTTGAACGACCCATCTGAATTCTCTGCCCTCGAAGGCCTTTTGCAAAGATATATGGCTGCCTCCAATGCTTTGCTCAACTACAACAAGACACAAACGCTTTCTCTTTCAGGTCTCCCTCAACCGCATTGGATTCAATTCTTGGCTTCCAAAGGCATTTCCTCATGGCATGATCACTCATCCTCGACACCACTGATATACCTTGGTTACGGTCTCTTCATCAACCGCCAACAACGCTCCTCTTTCGTTGACACTCTTATCTCTACCATCCGTACCTCCTGCCAACTACATTCTACTCGCAACCTGACACTGCGTGGGCGTGTTACGGTTCTGAACTCCTTGATTCTTTCCAAACTATGGCATGTCCCACGCCTGGTCACCTTCACACCGTCAGAATTTAAAACCATACAATCCATCATTTCTTCCTTTGTTAACCGGAATGCCAAGATGACTCGCTTCGCCTTTGATACACTCACCTTACCCCGTTCCCAGGGTGGTCTCAGGCTTTTTAATCCTGCCCAGCAAGCCAATGCCCTTCAGTGGCGTTGGCTCCAACCACTTCTTCATCCTGATCAACCATCGCCCTCATTAATGCCTTCCCTTCCAGTCCTTCGGTCCACACTTTCCTTTTCCCTTGGCTCTACTCGGTTTCCTTCCTACCACTGGCCCCTCCTTTTTCCTCCATGTCGCCCTAATTGTCTTCCTGATATTGGTCCTGTCTTCAACATCATCCGTGCTGTTGACTCTATCCAAAGAAATTTCAATTACTGTTTCGTTGACATCCCCACCATCTTACGTCTTCCTTTCCTCTCCCTTCTTCAACACTCACTCCGCCCTTCCAATCCTCTCGCGCCCACATTCTCCCCTCCCTCCACCATCCTTCACGAACATATCACCATTCGTCTTCATCTTTATGGCTCTGACATCTTTGATTACAATCCCAATACCCTTACCCTTGACCTCAAACAATCCTTACACAATCTCCCTCACCCCACCTCCAGTTCTCGAGCCATTATCATGATCCGATCCCACTTTCTCCTTTTTAACATGTTCACCCTCCAAGCCATGATTTTACATTTCCCCAGACCCCTCCTTACCACCTCGCAACCAGATATCACTACTCCTCCTACCACTGATTCCTTCCATTTCTTATTAACATCAATCGTCTCTTGTCACCTTGATTTACAATCCTTTCAATTCCAGATAGCTCCTCCATCTACCAAGGGCTTCAAATCCCTTCCTCCCTCATCTCCCTCGAAGACTCCACCAAAAATCCTGGCACCTTCCAAATGGCAAATGTTTTGGTCCTTACGCCTTCCCTTGAATGCAAGAAACACATGGTACCGCGTGCTTCATGGCAAGATCGCTACTAGAGAACTGCTACAGAGTCGCCTCAAAACTCCTTCTGACCCTATCTGCTCTATATGCAATTCATCCATGGAGACTACAGAGCATTTTCTCTTTGCTTGTCCTGCCAAACGCTCCTTATGGTCCGCTGCCTTCAACATGTGTATGCCATCCTCAGTTACACAGAATACTTACTCCAATTTCAGAAAATTCCTACTTTTAGAACAACACCCGTCTCAACAACATCATCCAGTATACCCAGACCTTTCAGTCCACCAGGTCTTTGCTTGTATGCTGCAGACTGTATGGTATTACCACTATCAGCACCACTTTAACAACATTCCCTTTCTACCTTCCATTCTCCTTCTATATCTTCAGAAACCTCCCACAACCTTACATTCCCAGGAAAACCTAGATCAACTTCTCTAAATCGACACTCTGTATATTCATATATTATCTAGTCTTTTTCCCCTCTCTCTTTATTTAGGTGACGTTTAAAGGACTTTAAATAAAGTATTTTATTTGTCCTAAAAAAAGTGCTTCTTTTCGACTTGACAGAACTATGTTGTGGTATTCGACTATATACATTGTGATGATCATCCTATGCTCCTTAATACATTCTAGAAGCATTTTTGTAGGCGCCTCCAATGGTACCAAGTAAGATAGATGTTTTGAATAAACTTATTGAGCAATTTATGAAAATGTGAAATGAGGTTTCTGGCCAAATGATCGAGATTTTACATATCAAGGTCCCACAAAGATGAGTTCAGAGGTTGCTTTGGATCGAGAGAAAAATTTTGATTCAAGATATACCATAGTAAAAGTCTTCATTTTCAAGGTGAAAAACGCGATCGTTTGATTTTCGATGAAAACCATGAGGGGTACCTCATGCTTTTTGGTCGATTTTTGGCCATGTTTTTTGGGTCCCCAAAAAGTTGAGCAAAGGTGTCAGGAAGTTACTACTACTCAAGTACAATTGTTTGATATCATTCCGGTGGCTCAGAAAAGTGTACATGTCGAGATATGAAGGCTTGAAAACCGTCCAATTTGGTTGTATTTTTGCTTTATGGCTTTTATTTACAGGGCATACATTACATCTTTGGTAGCTGCAATTTACGGAAAAGGCAATTCTGTAGCTTGAGCAATTTTTAATTTGAATAGAAGGAATATTGATTCTGGTAAAGCCAATTCATGCAGATCTTGATGCGTTATGTTGTAGGTAGGCTTATTAATAATGAAAATGAAAAGCCAAATTGACTGCTTAAATACTATAGTTCTGCACGGTTGATTCGTTACGGTCTTAAGGTCAATGTTACCAAATGCTGCCTTGAAACCAGAAATCACTTAATCCACAGCCAAATAGCAGGTAAGAAATCACTTGAATTAGATGCGTTATGTTCTTGGGAGAGGGGCTTTTAATCTCTAGTTGGCTACGTCGACGCTTTTGTGTTCAAGTTTTCTAGTATTTATAATGATGATGATATGCAACTTGAGGAAAAGCAATTTCCTGCAAGGATGTCGGTATATATCTTCAATGGAGCTTAAGATGTTTCATTTCACTCGCAAAGCAAAACATTTACTCTGGTGAAGTTATTGCATGTACCTAATGATTTGAAGAATAGCCATCAAACATAGAGTCTATACCAGCTATCTCAGACTATCTGCATGGTAGCAAAAAGACATGCTACATGTACAACAGAAACTAACGTGTAATTTCTGACAGCAATGCATCTGGCACGGCGAATGGAGTGTAACTCGTTCAAGCGAAGCATAAGAGATTTACATTTCCGACCATATAAGAGATGCACTATGGGCGAGATAAAAGTTTTTTCTTTTTCGAGTAATAAACTTTTTAGAATATCAATGTCTGGCAAAAAGAACAAGGCTAGCAGTAAGCCTTCTTCTTCTTCAGCAACACCTGCTTCCAATAAAAAACCCAACAATAATGGTAAACGAGGCATTGTCAAAAACGGAAACGCCGGTGGTAAGCGTGATGATGATGATCAACAGCCAGCCCCTCAACGTTCCATCTTTGGCATGTGGACGGGCAAAACACCCGTTTCTTTGCTCCACGAACATTGTCAAAAAGCAGGTTGGGAGAAGCCTGAATTCGACATCAAACGACGTAAAGATGGTTATCTGGGCACAGTGACGCTCAGTATGCGCAACAAAAAGACAGCTCAAATGCAGACCGTTGCCTTTACGCCACCTGATGAATTACACCTACCTACATCTATAGAAGCTAAACATCTGGCAGCTACTTATGCTTTACATAGAGTCAAGTCGCACATGCCTCTGCACCGTGTGCTACCACCAGAGCATAGAGATTACTGGCGTCAATTTGATGCAGCAAAAACTGCGGCAAATGCATGGCAGTACGATCCAGATCCCTTCAATGCGCATGCACCTATATCAGCACCTAGACGTAATAGACAATTACCCACCAAAGAGCATGCTGCTTCAGCTGTACCCATGCCAACAGTAGCCAAAATGGATCAAGCGAGACAAAAGGAGCCAGAGATGGACGATAAAATGCTCAAATATTGGCAGAGTCTCCCTTCTGTTCAGATGGGGTCAGAAAATCGAGAATTAGTGGAACGAGTCGTCAAGAGATCAAAGATTGCCTATCAGCCAGTACGTACACATCATCAGTATCAATACACAACGCTGATATTGATGTATCATATATAGTTGCCTAGAAAACACACCAAAGAGGAACGCAAACAGTTGGTGACTGAGTTGGTCAATATGGGATTTCGATCTGCTCATGCTCATGAAGCACTGGATTATTCAGTTGATAAAACGAGTGCATTGGATTGGTTGTGTAAGTTTGCAGTACGGTTTTAATGAGGATGATGTATTAACGAGCGATATTAAATAGGTCTCCATGTCCCTGAAGATGGTAGATACACATATACAGTTGTTGCATAAATCAGATCATCGACAACTGACATCAATATGATAGATTTGCCTGCAAATTTCATGCTCGCCAATTACAATCCCACCATGACAACTATATCACACACTACACAATCGCTAGGCAGAGATTGGCTACTGAAGCGTATGAGTAGTATTGGATATCCCGAAAGCATCTGTGAAGAAGCCCTGACCTTGGCCAACGAGGACGACTCAAAAGCTATTGAAATGCTGCAATGGAGGTTAGCTCATGGCGATGAGGAATTGCCTGTGGTAGATCCCGAACTGATCGACATGGATGAGCTCAATCAATCTCGACTCGACGAAATTACAGCACTCGAATCCATCTACGAAGCCTCTCGATTCCAAAAGGAAACAGACAAAGATGGCCGCAAGGTATACAGCATCCCCTTCAGCGCCAAAACAGATCCTCAGCAGAAAGTGCGTCAAAAACTGGTCTTGCAAATCATTATTCCCAAAGGGTCGTATTATCCCTTCCAATTACCACTGTTTGTCATTGAATGCGAAGGACTGCCCAGCTACATGAAACTGGCCTTAATCAAGGGACTGATAGAGGAAGCCGAGATAAATTTTGGCATGCCCTTCATCTACATGTGTGCCGAATGGCTGCAGGAACATTTAGATTTTATGATTGCCAATCCACCCAAATTGCGTGACATGTCAGAACGTCTCAGCAGCTTTGAGATGTTAAAGGATGCAGTGCCCAAACGAAAGGCCAACAATCATCAAAAACGACATCGCATACACGCCTTGAAGCCAGATGCTGTTGTCTCTCAAAAGCTGAAAGAAGCCCTTGTGGCGCTGCATGACTCACCAAAATATGTGTCCATGGGGTTAGTGCGATCCAATCTGCCTGCGCATGGCTTCAAGTCCACTGTTGTCAAGACCGTCTTGGGTCATCAAGTCACCATTGTCAGTGGTGAGACAGGTTGTGGTAAGACGACGCAAGTGCCTCAATTCATTATAGACGAGGAAATCATGCAGGGTCGTGGATCTACTTGCAATATCATTTGTACACAACCAAGAAAGATCTCTGCTATTGGTGTTGCCGAACGTGTGGCCTCTGAACGCTGTGAAAAGATTGGCCAAACTGTTGGTTATGCTGTTCGTGGTGAGACCAAGGTGTCCTCTGACACGCGCCTTCAGTTTGTCACAACCGGTGTCTTGCTGCGTCGTTTGCAAAGTGACCCCACGCTGGACGGTGTCAGTCATGTCATGATTGATGAAGTACACGAACGATCTGTGGACAGTGATTTTTTGCTGATCATTCTGCGAGAAGTGCTCAAGAAGAGAAAGGATTTGAAGGTGGTGCTCATGTCTGCCACCATCAACCAAGAGCTATTTAGCAGCTATTTCAATGGTGCGCCTGCTATCGAAATCCCTGGCTTTACTCACCCTGTGGAAGATTTTTATTTGGAAGACATTTTGGAAATGACATCGTATGTATCTCATATGCCCATGGTGAAGAACCCAAAGAAGGGTGAGGAAGACGAAACAGCTAGTGGGAGTCATCTTCCCAAGGGCGAATGGGCACAGTGGCAAATTCCGTACCTGGAGAAAGGATTCAGAGAGCACACTGTGCGTACTTTGGCTCGTTATCGCAACCAAGACAAGATCGATTATGATCTGGTAGCCAGTGCCGTCAAGTACATTGTCGACAACGAAACTGTCAAGATTGAAGGTGGATCAGAGCCTGCTATCCTTATCTTTATGCCTGGTGCCATGGAAATTAAACGCTGTGTGGAAGCCATAGAAGACAGGCTGGGCAACCGATCTGAATTTGAGATTTTGCCCCTTCATGCCAATCTCTCGCCTCAGGAACAAACGCGCGTCTTCAAGACGGTGCCTGCTCATGTGCGCAAGATTGTGGTAGCTACCAACGTGGCAGAAACATCCATTACGATTGAAGGTGTCGTCTATGTCATTGATTCGGGTCGCGTCAAGGAGACGCAGTTCGCAGCAGCCAACAACATGATGCATTTGGTTGAAACGTGGGCATCGCGTGCTTCATGTAAACAACGTCGTGGTCGAGCAGGTCGTACAAGACCAGGCAAATGCTTCAAATTATTTACACGTGAAACGGATCAAAACAAAATGCGTGCGCAACAAGTACCTGAGCTTCTGAGAACGCCCTTGGAACAACTGTGTCTCACCGTCAAGGCGATGGGTGAACACGACGTGCGCAAGTTCCTTCAGCGAGCTATTGATCCGCCCTCGGTGGCTGCCATGGATAGCGCTATTCGGTCACTAAGAGAGGTAGAAGCCATTGAACTGACTGAAAGGGGAGATTTAACTGCACTGGGTAAACACATGGCAAACATCCCTGCTGATTTACGCATTAGTAAAATGTTGTTGTTTGGGTCTGTGTTTGGGTGTCTGGATCCTATCCTCACCATTGCATCGATCATGTCACTCAAGAGTCCATTTACCTCGCCTATGGAAAAGAGAGCGGAGGCGAGACAGTAAGTGGGAATTGGAGCAAGGGGTACAAAATCGAGGTGCACTAACTCTATCATGTACAGAGCACGAGAAAAGTTCAACTTTAGTAAAAGCGATTGGCTGACAGATATGAAGGCATATGAAGCATGGTACGAAATCATCAAGTCAAAGGGCATGAGGGCTGCTCGCACTTTTTGCGAAGAACACTTCCTGTCGTTTGCTACATTGAACGAAGTGCAGAATCTTCGAAGACAGTACTTGGATGCATTATCAGACATTGGATTCTACAAGAAATCCAACCACGACGACTACAACCAAAATGTGGATAATGTCAACCTGCTAAAGTCCATTCTATTTGCTGGCCTCAATCCAAATGTCGCCAAGATCCGATTACCTGATACGAAGTACGACAAGATTCTCAGTGGCACAGTAGAAAGGGAAAAGGAAGCCCGAGAGATCAAATACTACACAAAAGACGATGGCAAGTATATAGTTGGTGGTTCAGAAGGGTCAACGTGATGACTAATGCTTCATTCATCTTGACAGGCCGAGTGTTTTTGCATCCATCCTCCTTACTGTTCGACAACAACAGTTACAATTCATCATTTTTGACCTATTTCTCTCGAATGACCACCAGCAAGACATTCATTCGAGACGGAACGGAAGTGCCATCTTACGGCATTTTGCTTTTTGGCGGGAAAATTGATGTAGATCATCTTGGAAGAGGATTGCAAGTAGGCGAAGATGGTTGGATCAAGTTTAAATCCTGGGCTCGTATTGGTGTGTTGGTGAATCAACTCAAGCGATTACTGCAATTAGAGCTAGAATTCAAGATTGAGCAACCAGATTTAGATGGTAAGTGTGCCATGTGTTTTATAGAGATGTTTGCTAACAACATGTTCTCTACTACAGTCTCGCACAGTGGCGTAGTCAGCGCCATCCTATCTCTTGTTACAAATGATGGCGTGTAATGAAAATATTCCATCTTTTTCCATCTGTACACATTAAAACTCCATGTCAAAAAAATTTTCAAACGTATAAATAGCATGCCTCCTTGAGGTTCCTTGATGGTTCTTTCCTTTTCTTTTATATAACCTAAAGGGCCGCCAATTTTATTTTCATTTTTAAAATTTTCTGTCAACATTAAATCTTTCAATATGGATCTTTCTTGGTGTATTATCTGTGATAACCGTGTAGATGATGTCTTGAATGACTCTAGTCTCTACTGCTCTGAATCTTGTCAGCTCAAAGATCAAATGACTAGCATTACAAACCAGCTCACTCTCAATCAACAAAAGAAGCCTGCGATGACAAAGCCATCATTGCCTGCTGCTACTCTATTGCGCACCAAGCGTTCCAATGCTCCTTCCGCCTCCTATCCCTGGATTCCCTTGTATCGCCGTCGCCGTGGTGTAGTTGTCACTAAAAGATGTCAACCCATTGTGTCCAGCTCTCTTACAACTGCCAATGCATTCTTCGCTGCTCCCAAACCCGCAACTCTCGTCTAAATTCGTAACGACTACAACAACCTCTAATCATTTTTTTCAACAAGCCCAAAAAAATTCAGAAAATCACATCCAACAAAAAACCCTCCAAAAAACAATCAGCCAAATCAATGATATAAAATTTACCAGAAAAAACTCGACAAAAAAAGCATCAAAAGCACCAAAAAAAGCCTCACAAAAAAAAACTTTTTTTTTTTTTCAGTAAACTTTTTTATTCTTTTTTCGGTTGACTTTAGGCACGGGGAGGATTGTAAATAACAGAAAGATGCAAATCTTTTTTATATTTTCTTTATTAAACTTATCACATAAACTACAATGTTCCCTTTCAGCTGTCTCAGCTGATAGAGAGTCATTTACATACCCTTGCCATTTCAACCATTTTCTACCTCCAAAAGACTAAAATCAATTCATACCTTTCAATAAAAGCATCTCTTTCTTATCCTTGGTTTTTCACAGAACCAAATTTCTTCAACAGAAATATATTAAAAAAAAAATTACCATCTTGTTACACATGTTTTGTTTGTCCTAATTTGAATGAAACAATGATCATGTATTTGAAATGCTGCGGTTGCCGCAAACTTGGGTTTCAAACATGTTACATCCAGCAATGTTGTGGTCATTCAAGTTTTTTCTTTTTTTTACTGCTAAACGAAGCAACATTATCAAGCATTAAAGTATTTTAAAAAGATGAGCAAGGCGAGCTAGCCACTCGCTCTTTGTGCCTGTACAATCAGTAGCATATCGACTCATTATTCTTATTTTTTGAAACATTAAAAAAGGGTTCCTGGATCCTAGACTTCACATCGCTTCCAAGAATACCAGATCGAAAACGGATAGCGGCATTTTAAATATCTAGGGGGCGATGATCCCTCTACTATTGCCAAATGCTTAGTGTAATTGATATAGGTTGCTTTCTAAAGAACAAAGTCCGTTAAACACATTAGAATCTGTTTGATGCATCGCTATTTAACTGCTTTTCCAGGCAAGTTGAGCATCATCTGGAGGGATGAACAGTGCTTTCTAGAATTGCAGATGTTTAAAGAAAGCACTAATCACCCGGCGTTAATCAATCAATATTTTTCTTTCTTCAGTTTTATAGTTGTTGTGCTATTCCCTTCTCGAATAGTATTATCCATGTTTCTAACGATATCTTTGATAGCCCAAGCAATATAGATAGCGGGCAACAAAGTAGCTCCATATTGTGGCATGTCGCTTGATAGATGGCAGTTTCTTGACTTTTATAATTACAAGTTCGTCGCCTCACGAGCCTACTTCAAGACAGTAATTTCGTCTTCACCGTTGAACATTATATGAAAAATGCTGCAGAGTTACCATTCAGCAAAAAAATACGTGAACAATGACGATACTTGTCTGGTACTGTTGTCCACTTGTTCTCGAGAATATGAACATACTGTATATAGCATAATGAACCTCCTTTCCTGGAATCGAGTATAAATGCCATGCCTAATTTCTGTGATAAGGGTGACATTACACATCTATTCTAAAATAAAATAATGGACACCGTCGTACCCTTTATCTTTGAAAACTTTGATATCCTTCTCACTGTATCCTTTATGCTTTATCCCTTCCTTTCCGTCCTTTGGGAGTCTTGTAAGTTGGCCAATTTAGAGTATTGTGCACAACCTATATCTAACCCGCTTCCTTATTTTCAGTCACTGTAGGGGTCAAAATAAAGCATCAAAGAGCAAGTAAGTGTTGTGTTTAATAATGCCACCAAGCAGACGCTAATTAGTTCTACAAGGTGAAACCGCAACTTTCCAGCGACTAGTAACCCAAGTTGATCAAACTGCCAAAAAGATAGACCGGCTTCAATCTGAAACTGTTGCCAAGCGCCTGCTTGAAAAAAATCAACTGGATGCCATGGTAGAATCCAATAAAACGTTGGGTCGCGAAATTGACTATCTCAGAAACACTGTTGAAGAAGAACAAACTGCCATCAAGGAACTTGCCAAATTCATGTATGAAAAGAATCGCTTGGTGGATGCTCTGGTCATCATTCTGAGGGATCTTCAGCAAGGATTGAGGATGACCAACGGTGATCAAGCCATGTTGGCACAGCAGTTCAACAGCATGTTTGTCGACGTCAATGGTATAAAGAGAGACACTCAGCTCATAGATGATGCACTGGCTGAACTCAAGACCAGTGTGGCGAAGAATGCAGAGACAAACACAAAGCAATTCAAAGATGTCTTGATGAAGTTTGTCAACCAGCAAAAGTCAAGCGATACTTTCAGGGCCAGGATAGAAGGCGAACTCAAGACACTCATGAGCAATCCTCCTCCTGCTTGGGACACCAATACGGACATCAGTGCTCTCAAAGCGGAACTCAAACACACGAAGGAATATATTAGTGTCATGAGAGACAACTTTATGAATAACAGTTGTGAATGTGGTTCTACCATGAAGCCCAAGATGAAGCAATTCGAAGACATGTTGAAAGAGCAGAGAAAGACAATCAAAGACATGTTTGAAGATTATCATGAGTTCAAAGATGATTACTACATGAGTGAGAATGTCAATGGTACTGCGATTCAAAAGATGATGGATACGTTGCACCAATCTTATGCTACTAGAGAAGAGATCCATGCTGCATTCCAGCAAATCAATGATGACATGAACGCCGGCCAATGCAACTGCAACTCTGCTAAAACTCCACATCAACAACAATAACACGGTGAATCAGCAGATGAGAGTAAAACTGAAGGCATGGCTGTAGATCCATAGATGTCCTTTAAAATTAATAAACTCTATATTACATTACACTTGGCATGGCTTAAACTACTTTTTTTATTCTCAATGAAGCAAATCTAATCATAGAATGTGGCCTTTGTTTTCTTTGCTCAGGTTGTGTCTGTGGTTGATGCTCTTCAATATTGGCAACTGACATTCTCCATGATTTCTTATGCCTGATGGTAGCTGGTGGGGCCGCCTCCAGCAGCAGAGAAAGTCTTTTGTTTCTCACTGGCTTATCTTGCTGCTCTTCTCTGAACAAGCAGTTCAACGACTATCAAAAGAGTGCAGGTTAATAAACTATCATGCCATGTCTTACATGTCAATACTTGCCTGGACCCATTTCTCATGTGATTCCCTACTTGTGCATTGTAGCTTGATATCTCTTGCGTGCGATTTGACAACAATCAATGGGATTTGTTCGTTTTGCTGCTGTTCAACATAAAAAGACTCAATAGATGCTATGAGTAGTACGCACACATGCACAGCATCATCATCATGTTAGAGAGCGAAATGCACAAATATTTACAAAACACTGTAGCTTACCACTCTTTGCCTTGTACTCTCCACCTTGAACACCTGGTTCTTGTTGACTCCAGTACAGTGTCCTTGTGTAGGGATGAAGCCAAAAGAAACGCTTATGTGCATTATCAGAGATGCCGCTTTTCACCTTGAACCGTGTGTATTTCAGTAGCCATTCGCCAATCATGGTATGCATAACAAACGGCAGCACGTTTTCAAAGCCTTCCATGTGGCCGAGATGGTTGGGTATAGTCAGCGGGTGCACCGGTGTATCTTGCTCCTGTGGTGTTTCTGAATGATAGTAGGACTCATGGTTGTTCATCAGCATGGACCCATATCGCTGCAATTCTTCTGTTTCTGTTTGTCTCCTCTCTACACTCAACAACTCTTCTTCCAATGACGTAACAGCAGACACAGGGGAAGCATTTGTATGTACGGAAGCAGCACTATCTTGTTGACACCACTGTTCTGCAGCATCAGCATTGATATTTGCTTTTTGTTGCTGCATCTGTTCAATCGTCTCCTGAGATTCTCTCAATAAAGCTTCCACCTCTGATTTCTTTTGCTTTTCATTCTCCAAATCGAGTTGCAATGATTCCATGACATGATGCGCTTCAGCTAGTGATGCTTGCAACGCCTGGAGCTCCTTCTCTGAAGACTTGCAATGCAGGTTCATGGTGGCATCCTCTTTGGTGAGATGCGCATCTGTCTGTCGCTGCAGTTGTTCCGGTTGCAATGAAGTGGCCTCCTTCTCCCTTTTCAATTTTAAGAGAGATTTGTGGAGTGTAGCCAGTTTAGCCTCGTTGTCGTTTTGAGTTTTTGTCATTTTCTCCTGCCATTTTAGCTGTGCTGCTTTCAGCAACTCTAGCTCCTGAAGCGCCAAGTTCTTCTGACGCTCTCGTCGCACTTGTTCCATGTGTGTTTTGTGGATGCTGGCAGATAATTGACGTATTTGATGTGACAAATCTTGCTTGGTGAGCTCGAGGTTCCAAATGTCTTCTTTGAGTCGTTCTTCCGTTTCGCTCTTGAAGCGAAGCTGCTTGACCAGGTCTGCAATGCGCTGTTGATTATCTGTCCTTTCATGCTCCAGATGTATTAATGTTTCTTGTCTTTCTTGAAGGATGCTCTGCATGCGTCGCACTTCGCTGAGCAAGCCCTGGCCAATTTCAGTTGCCAGCTCAATATCAGAAGATGTGCTTTTGCGGTTATTTGCCTTGTTGATGCTGGATAGATCGTTGGAACTATGACTGGATGCTACCATCATCATGCTGTTAGATGTATCAGTGTTGCTCTCAGGGGTTTGAAACAAATCGGAACAGGAGCTAGCAATTGAAGCTCTAAGTAGTGATCTTTTCTTCTTTTTGATGCTTGAAAAGGAAGAACCGCCGAAAACTGGAGCAGCTGGAAGTGTGATGGAGTTGGCGTAAGAAGAAGAAGAGAAATAGGAAGAAATGGAGGAAGAAATAGAAGAAAAGGGTGGCGAGTGTTGATTGGGATCCTCTGAAAAATAACGGAGAAACCTTGCCGTTGGCATTTCTGAAAGAGGAGTCAGAGTGATCAGTGGTGCTGATGTCTCTTTTGTCATTGTGGGCGCTGGCGGTAATGCTATTGATGATAAGGCTGAGGAGGTTTTAATTACATTTTTGTTTTTACTATGCTATTCATAACGGGACGTTTCATCAGAAACTCTATTTTGTATGCATTCAAATTAGCCTTGGTTTACTTACTACAGGTAAATCAACACTCGAGGATGATGCTGTAGAGGATGATGTAGAGGAGCTGGATGACGTGGATATGGATGAATTGTTTCTATGAAGCACCTTGTTGAAGGATTGCTGTCCAGCTGTCACCCAACTCGTTGCATTCGATTCTTTCTATTAAGGAGAAGCACACTATGTCAATGGTCATGATAGGGGGGATATAGTTTCGAAATATACTACTTGAGTTGGAAATAGATTGGACGAAGAAGCTGTTTTTAATCGAAAGAAGCATTCAGGAGATGACTTTCTTCGTTGATCCAGCATGGACATTGGAGGGTGAGGAGGCGTCTTGATATCATCAACAAGCATTGCAAGTATGTATAGAAATATACAGAGTAAAAAGAACGAAAAAAATCTACAAAAAAGTAACAAGGTACAAAGTAAAAGAAAGAAGCAATTATACACAGTGTACATGTTTCTTTTATACAAGCTGGATTCCAAGAATAGGTCGATCTATTTATTGCTATTGCAACTCTAATCATGGCAAAACACACGATCATAAAGTGTTTATATATATATATATACAACTGAGTGGTCAACTTGGTTTTTTTTTTTTCTGAATAGGGGGGGGGGGTTACATTTAACACTTTTTTCATGCATGCAGCGTGCTGTGAATGGAATATCAAGACACATTTCCTTTGTAAGAGAGAGAGAAAAGCAAGGTCTGTTTGTATCCCTGCAGTCAGTGGTCTTCGGGCATCCGCTTGCTTATAAAAAGTTTCTATAAATAAGATTATTTTTGCTGTTGTATATCGAAAAATCAGTGAGATGTATTTAAATTAATACAATACGTCTCAAGTAGTAGCAGATCAGCTCATCAAGAGAGTAGTCCAAACTGGTTACACTCGCATAACTGACAGCTTTCATGTATTTTTATATTTCACTCATAGTAAATGCTTTATTTCGTATCTTTAGACAGCGACATAATCAACTCCTTGATGCATATAGTCTTAACAGCAACGCGTTTAACCAGTTTTTTGATTTCATATATTAAAGCAGCAAGAGATGAAGTTGGTGGTTCTGCTTTGTATCGTGCGCCAAAACGGCTTGAAGCTTTTTGGTCAAATATGATTTGGTTTGACTTTACAAGTTGAGTCTAATACAGCTTATAGCTCTATACAGTTTTGATATGTTGCAACATGCGTTCTTGAAATCATACTCAAATACACCGAAATTGCACTTCTTGGCTTTGCACTATTATGTGAAGATCCTACAAGTAAATTGCAGTGATGAATCTGGCTCTCTTGGGATGCTTCCTCTCTGTCAATGAAAATAATCCATCTACGGGTAAACAGTATACTAATATCCCCTCTTACTACTCTCATTTATGCAAATCACAGCATATTTGGAAGCATTTGAGCAGTGTTTTCTCGAGTTAAACCCCGTTTTGGATCGCCAGAATAGTATCAAGCATTTGCTCTGATCTAGCAGTTACTTACTGACACCTTTGCTCAACTTTTTGAAGACCCAAAAAACATGGCCAAAAATTGATCAAAAACCATGAGGTACCCCTCATGGTTTTTATCGAAAATCAAACGATCGCGTTTTCGACCCCCCAAAACGAAGACTTTTGCTATGGTATATATTAAATCAAAATGTTTCTCTCGATCCAACGCAACCCCGAAGGCCTTGTTTGTGAGACCTCGATATGCAAAATCTCAACATATTCGCAGAAAACGGCATTTTATATTTTTGTAAATTGCTTAATAACCACGTTCAATACACCTATTGAAGTTAGTACCATTGGATGCTTCTTGAAAAGAGTTCCAAGATTGCATTAGAAATTACGGTACGAGTATCACACTTTACATAGTCGAATCTGGCAAAATAGGTCAAATCAAGTTCAAAAAGTTTGAAATTGAACAAATCAAGATAAAAAATGTAGCGAAAATTGAATTTTTTGGCTGCTGGCAATATGCCTTTCTCCTGAAGCCATCAATGCTTTTGAAGCGACCATGATGAGAATAGCTAAGAAAAAGGTAATATAGCTTAAAGTGGATAATCTCACTTATTTCTGATGCATAACGCTATATATATATGTGGTAGGTATTATTAAGATAAGTTGCTCATCCAAATGCCAGTTTTTTTAATACGAAATGCAAACGGATTACTATACACATTGACATTGATGCGATGGCCTCAACATTGATTGCACTACTGCATACAATAATATAGAACAATGAGATAGAGCTACCTGACTAGCATCAAGCTATCAACAAGTGAGAGACTCGACGTCATACTCGCCAATTCTTCGGCTGCAGGATAATGTATGACACTCACTGGACATTCTCAAGATTAGCCGGTTATAGGCTCATGTATCCCCAATCTTTCCCGGTAACATCAATTGTCGTCTTGATTGAATCTAAGCGCTCATATTCAGTACCCAGTGTCCCCCTTCTTCATATCGGTTTGAAATGGAGATGAGAAATACATTTGTACATGATTAATCATCAAACGCCTCAATATCACACAGCCATTGATTTACGAATGTGCTCGTATTCACATGGGGAAAATGGTTAGCGTAATCGCCAAAATACCTCATACTACATAAATATGCATAAACTAGTCATATATTCAGCAATAACAAGATACTATCCATGAAAATCTTAAAACCACATTGTTTAAGCCTGTTGCTTAACAACAGATAATGATTTGGTAGCCTCAGCAGCAGCAGTAGCCTCATTGCTCTTTACTACTTGGTCCTTGACATGTTGCAAAAGGGCCTTGAAATCTTTACCCTTGTTGTCATGTGGATACGGGATATCTTTAGGAATTTCCAAACCCAAAAATGGACAAAGTGTTTCCCATCCCTGACCCAATTCCATAATCAACAAGTTTTCGGGCTTGACAATGGCCTTGACATGTTCAGTATGCTTATGGAATTTAGCAATCAGCTCCTCTTTTCTGCCCTTTACATCATCACCGCCTAATTCACCATCTCTGACTACCACACGAGCCATTTTGCGTGCCCTGAGAATTTGCTTTGGCCAGGTTTCATCTACAGCGGGCCATTCATGAATCGTGTTGCACACTGAATGATGCCACTTTTCAGGGTCTCTGACAGTAAGGATAACCTTGGCGTTGGGATTTAACGCATACAGTTTATCAAAGAAAGCAGTAGATGGCCAATCGACAGCAGCATCATAACCTTGATAAGCGCGGGTCCAGTCAACAGGAGCTTCGGGGTGCTTATAGGCTTCTTCGAAAATTTCAGGCACTTGCGTCGGATCCATGAGCACATTTTCCATGTGATGAGTAGTAAATCTAAACAGTCGATATTGAGCATATACACAAGGCAAAACATGAGCATAGCTACTTACTGTAAGTAATTCAATGCATTCCTTAAGCTCTTGGTACCAGTTCTACCAAAGCCAGCGCCTAATACCTTTAGAAAATTGGTGTCTTGAGGCTGATGTTTTTGAATGTCTTGAGTGGAGAGCATGCTGTGAAATAGGAATGAAAAGAAAGACAAACGAACAAGAACATAAAGTGAGGCATCTATTTATACACAAAAGATGCGGAATAGGGACGATATGCTTATGTGTCGCTGACAATTATGCAACATGACATGTCACTGCATGATTTAGCATCATCATTTGTAAGGTATCGAATAAAAAAGATGGATATTTATGTGTTTGCGTGTGTGTGTATATATATAGGGATAAAGTTTCGACTGGCTATTGTATAACTGCTGCTACAAGATCATGTAAGTTTCTAGGCTCAATAATGGATTGGTTTTGTTTTAAAGGATATTGCACTTTTTATCCTTTTTGTTCTTCTTGTTCTTCTGCGATCCATCTTGGAATCCTTCGCGAGCATGTCGAATTAAACGAACAACAGAGTAGAATGATCTCTCAACATTGACACATGTCTTTGCTGATGTCTCGACGAAATCGCAGTTGAGCGTGCGAGCTTTTATCGCTCCCTCCTCTCTGGTAACCTCTCTGTCTGTAACTTTATCGCATTTGTTTCCCACAAGAATAAGCGGTACTTTGGTGAGATCCTTGACTCGAAATATTTGATCTCTGAATTTATTGACTCGGTCGTATGTTGAGCGAGATGTGATGGAGTAGACAATAAGAAATCCCTCGCCGTCTCGAATCCACTGGTCACGCAATGCTGTGTATTCCTCTTTGATGATGATGATGATGATTAGGTTCTGGCTGCGCTCACACACACACACATTGAGTTTTACCTTGACCAGCTGTATCTAAAACCTCGAGCACGCATGGATAGTCGTCAATGACCACCTGTTTACGATACGAATCTTCGATGGTTGGATCATAGGTCTATATTTGATTAAGAATCTTAACTAGTGTTTTGATTGGCTGCATTGAATATCATTGTACCTCTAAAATAGAATGAATAGAAGAATTAGATCAGCATTTGCTACTCACAATGTATGCACATACCAACAAAGTGGTTCAAACATAGCTATTCATGAATGCAGTAATATAAATAAATGCTCTGTTTTTATCTGTTTATATTAATATATCGTTACCTGAATCGTCAGTGCTGTCTATCAAGGGTAAAAGAAATCTGATTTAGTTCCTGGATTTTAGTCTGCGAAAAGAAAAAAAATTACTTTTCCAACGCCACCATCCCCAAGCACTACAATCTTGAAGAGCATCATTTTGTCGGTGTGTGTGATTAGTATAAAGAAAGGAGGGGTTGTTAAGTAGAAAAGAGGAGAGCCAGAAGCAAGCGAGCAAAGATGAGATGCGCCTTATATTGGTATACACAGGCAAAGAGGAACGGGGTAAAAGAGAGAGGGAGAGAGAAAGAGAAAAAGTGAGATTATAATACAATACTCTAGGAACAGCTATAGGCAGTTTAGCAATTTGTGTGTAAAATGCTACATGGAAATCTTTATTGTATGACTATAGTATGTAGAACGCCTGTTTTCGTCTGTCTTCAATTTTTGATATATAACCCTCTATCGCTCTTGTTCATCACAGCATAGCGTCCACCTGGATCAGGATATTCTAATCCCAATGTATAGCTCTCGTTTTTCAAGATATCACTAGTATGGAGATCATCTGCAAGCGAACACAGAGAAAAAGCGTGGGGATGTGAGTTACATGTTCAAAGGGCCGTGCACTATTATATATCTGATTTTTTTCATGAATACCTTCTTCTGGTGTTTTATGTGGCTGGAAACTGCCGTCGTAAACTTGACTTGAGACCACTGCTCGCCATTCAATCCAGTTCTTTCTTGCAAGCGTCTCTTGGTTTGGTTAAATGGCTCGTCCTATTTAAACAAGTTGAATATATATAACTTGCAAATCAGCAGACCTCATTTAAACTTTTAATCTGTATTACCTTAATTATAAGAAATTTGAAGGGAATAGAATGTGTTTGTGTCAAGGTCTTTTCATAATGGTACACTGTGATATAGAATTCCTCTTGACTAATATTGCATTCCTCTTTTGGGGTTATCTAATGGAAGATTGTATTACTATTCAGCATTTCTCTCTCTCTCATACAAACTTACCTCCGCATACACATTATCAGCATCTGATCTCAGCCAATGGCTCACAGTGCATAGCTTGCCAACGACCTCTGCGATCAATCCATCTTTCACTTTGAATTCACGTACCTTTTTACGAGGGCTGATGAGATGGCACATTTCAGAAACAAGGGCATTTTTGGAAAGTAGGAGTACTTTTGTTTGTGGCTGATTGAATGTGTTGCAAACATTGATTCGATACATCTTCTTGCCTCGAGCATCAGCTAAGCTCATAGGGAGTACATCGTAATACAGAGTCCACTTTATCTTCTTCAGGTAGAGTACGTCTTTTTCATTCTCGTATGAATTATAGTTTGGGCACATTTGTAAAGCATCTCGTAATTCCCAGCCGCGACAAATGCCTTTCAACAGAGGATTTGCATAGTCAGTCGAGTACAGTAGCTGTATGTGATCAGAATCTTGCTGCAGATGACGAGCCACCGCGATAGTCGCTTCTGAAATAGGCATGTTGATGTTCAAGGCCAATTTGAATGGTATGTCGTATGCTTGATGATATACAGAGCCGCTTCTCATAAAGTAAACATTGACTTCTGCGAGTAGCATCTGATAGTAGGAGATTTCATCAGGGCATTTACCAGCTCTAAACAGATCTTGAGCTCTATTCAAATCAGGAAACGTGGATCGACGGTTATAGACATGTGTTATAACTTACCCCCAATGCGTCAGATGTCTTTGGAAGCATATAATGCTACCATTGATGAAATTGCTATCTCGACACGAAGAAGAGTGGGCCAGTTCATTCAGTTCGTACATGTCATTTTCTTTCCAGTATTGCAACTATAATTTAGTCCAGGTGATACAAGATAATCATCATTTATATAGATATTCACCTGGTACATGTCTAATTGCACTCCTCGTTCCAGCCCAACCATACCACTCAAATTTTTTTCAATCGTGTGGAGAAGAGTACCTTCAGATACATGCAGTTTTCCAACGCCCCTAAGAGAAACATCAGTTTGTGCACGCAAACAAACCCTAACTTCAATACCTCAATGTTTGTGTCACCGGGTCATAGTATTTGGCAAACAAAAGAATATCATTGGGATCGGTGGGAGCTTCTTGGATGGGCCAATGTTCTATATAAAGTCGTGTACATGAAGAGTCTTCTTTACTACAGAGTTCTTGCAAAGCTTCTATGTTATGAGTACATTTGCAATCCGTGTGTAAGAGTGTTAACTTACGATAACTATCGTAATACTCTCTTGGCACCAAGTGGACGGGTCTAAATACACCTTTTGCGGTTTGGAATTGACAAGCAATAATATACACTCTTGTGTCATTCATGTTTCTATTGCTCGCTGCTGTGTATTGCTGTAAAAAGTCGCCAACTGACATGTTGCGAAGCAGTCGGGTGTCCTGGTATTGAACATCTTCGTTTTGGGCTAGAGGATCAGTAAAACCAACGCCTCTGTTCATCAAGAACCCATCATCGGTAACAACATAGACTGTCATGTACAAGTGCTGGCTTACTCTCTGTTTTTTAATCGCCTCCGCCATCTTCTTTTCCTTTGCAATGCGCTCTAGTAAATGATGAGGAATGTCGTCTATGGTAACTGGTGCAAGGACTTGATCTTGACTGGAATCCCGGATATAGACAAGCATATAAGCATTGGTTTCCCTCTTGACCTTGGACGTGCTTTCATGTGCAGATTGCCCTCCAAAGTTCGCCTCAAATACTTCATCCAAGGTTGCTGGAGTGACTCTCTCGTCATTGAACTCGAACCTAAATTTGATATGATTCTTGTTAGCCATGGCTGCTGTATGTTGCTGTGTTGTCCTTATTTGAAGTCCTACAATTGATCTTCCTTGGTTGGTCTCACAAATGCAAAGTAATGGCCGCTAGTTATGCTTCCCGAATGCACCAACACACTAATAGATGAGATCAAGAGATTTTAATAGGCGGACCATTATTTTATCGACATGCGCTTACCTGTGCAGTACATATCTAAAAGAAGAAATTTGCTGCGACCCAGATTGCTCTTTTTTTTAGAGATGTGGTATGGTTGCAAATCAATTTCGGCAGGAAACTCATAGCGATCATTGACCTCCAAACATGAATATTAATCCTAAACGCACAAACCCAGGCACACAAATCTTGACTTACCTTGACCATAGCATTTTTGTTCATGTCGTAATCGAATCTCTTCCGTTGTATCTGCAATACAGGTGGAAATGCCTCAAATATCACACCCTTTTTTGCATCCTGTAAGCCTTGTCCTTCTGCCATGTATTTGTTCTCTTTCTCCAATATTTCCTCTCGAATATATTCCTCAAACGACTCTTTTAAATTTCGACATCCCTTGACGTTTAGCTGAATATCGTAGAATTCCTCGCTTCTTGAGGATTCACAATCCACATTCATGCATCTAATGTAGCTCTTTGTCTTTCCCATGAAAATATCCTTGATAGTGCCTTCAGCTAGTGCATTCAACATGTCTCTTTCAATATGCTCTTGTGACAGTCGACTGAATTCTTGGTCATGCTGCATAAATGATTCATGCGAATCCCATCCAAATGATTGTTATCTCGGCTGTTGCTATTTCGCATAGATGAGGGCCCATGCATTCCATCACGGTCCAGATATACTTACACACTGCGGATTCAGAGAACTGTAGGTTGAAGAATAAGCGTTGCAGTGCTAGCGCCACACTTTTTTGCGGATTGTCATTTTCGGTTGGAATTTGGTACACTGATTTTCGAAAGATGTTTGTAAAAAAGAGCGATTGGAACAATGAGTTCATGTAGCAAGTTGCACCCTGATTGTACAATCCAACATATCCAGTCGTCTTTTTCGAATCATACCTGCAATACAGATGATAAATTGTGATTATCCTAATACACGGCAAATCCATACTTATACTTTGAAGTTATGCCATAGTACGCCTGTAGGATCCTTTAATTGAATGATGCATTCAACCATTAATTTATTATCGACCACATAAGGCTGTTCATGATCAAAAAGGACATGCCATTTTATGAAATCATGGTATTATCCTCAATCTGCTTCATGATGACTGGATCTGTTGTAGAAAACTGATGTACAAAGATTATTAAAAACATCAGCCCCTAATGCCAGAAGTTTTACATACCCTTTGGGAAAAAAACTAGTAGGATCTTGAGGGTCCATGATGCAAAGAGCCACTGCTGCGCAAGCATCTCTTGAGAATGTCTTGTTTTTGCAATCTACATTTTTCAGAAACAATCCAATGCTTTTCTCGATTGCGGTACTCCCTGGGTATAATACGAGCCTCCTGTTTTTTCATAATTGAGTTTGTCAACCCGTATCCGTTACGGTAAGACCAGATCAAAAAATTACCAAGTATAATAATCATCTGTTTTGAATTCAGGTCTCTCAACTCGTCCTTTCTTCAGTGCGGTGAAGTTGTCGACGGGCCAAAAAAACGAATAGGCTCCAATGGTCTCTAGTTGATTGAATTGAGACAGTAATTTTTCAGCAGCTTGTAAATCTAAATGATAGCCCAATTTATAATTTTGACATGCATTAGTTCAACGATTCAAATATAAATAAAGACAAGCGTACCGCCGCCAGACAGACTTAAAGCATTCACTTTTTCGTGAGACGAAGCCATTGTTTGTTAAAATAGAAGTTGATGCAGAACAGGATGAAAAAAAAAGAGAGAGAGGAGAAGAAGAGGACAACTCAAAGTTATTGTGATCCTGGATTCTTATATTATTTTTATATATTTTTCATTTTCAGAGGACGATTGCTTGGAATTTTTCTCAAATGCTATATTGATGCAACACCATTCAGACTGTCAGTGCAATACGTACTGTAGATTGAATTGTATTACATGTTTACTCTGGCTGCATTGATTTTCTTTATCAAAAGAATTAAGAGGATAAACACTCTTCTACACAGCATAAAACTAAATTGATTTTCTTGACAGTTGTACCTTACTTTCTAAGACGTGATTGTTAATCAAGAGGCGCTTTGATAAAGGGTGTCTGATCTATCAAACTCGTAATGATAGGTATTGCTGCTACTGCTGCTCAAAAATAAACAATTTAGATTCTGTTAAATGTTTAGTCACTAAGTTTCCAGGATTGAAGGATATAACTGACAAGCTAAATACAAACAAGAATAAGAAGCGCAGGTTTAAGTATATTACGTAATCATGCATTTTTTGGTATGTAAATATGCTAGCAAAAGACAAAAATGTCAGGGTTGAAGGGTATTCTGACAGTGATTTAGATCTGTAGGATATCATTGACAGGCTAAACGCAAACAAGAATAAGAAGCGCAGGTTTAAACCTAGAGCGCCAGCTACCAGGAACATTAAACAGCGATTAACCTGGATAGCGCACAACATTACACAAACTATATTGGATAAAATCAATGTTCAAATCTAATAGTAATAAAGCACCTTTTTATCCATTCAAATAAAAGGCTATAACATCTTCCTGCACACTCTCTATATCTACGTCCATTTATATCTCGATCAGATCTCAGATTGCATATACTACTTCTATGTATTAGCATCTAACAAAAACATAGAAATGCCTTCTTGGCTCAGTTGGCAGAGCGTCTGCCTAGTAAGCAGAAGGTCAACAGTTCGATTCTGTTAGCAGGCATCTTTTTTTAATTTTTTTGTGAAAATCACATTATTGCGAGACGTTAAGAGCTTATTTTTGTTTACTGTCGTTACTAGTGTCAGGTGTACACAAAGACTATGTGTACCTGACATCGTGATAATGATATAAAATATTGTTACAAGTCGTAACATCCACTTTCTTTTTCTACCACCATATATATAATCATACAATCTGCCTGTCCCTATTATACAAATAAAACACATCACTTATTTTATCGTTCAAATTTCAATCTGGACACAACTCCATCTCAACCCAAAATGCCACATATCAAGCGGGCACGAATTAAAGACCCAGATCAACGCTGCAATGCCATCCGTATCTCGTATCCAAAAAGGACAACATTATATTAAACCTTCCTTTTTAAACCCAAAAAGTACAATTACATAACCAAATCATACGAAAACATACATTGACCCTAGTAAATTAAATAGGAATTCCTCTTTCATCAAAGGACATTAGAACAGAAATATTATAAAACTTTAATTCAATCGTTGTTAACCAGGATATTATCACAGATATAAAGAATAGCAAAATAGTATAAAAAGCATAAATCTCACTATCAATTAATAAAATCATCTTATACTTTACCAATATTTCAACACACATCTTTTATAAAGCTCATTAGCTGTTATATTTACTTTTTTTTTTATATCAAACATCTGTTATTTGTAAGATCCCTTGAGTTCTTTATATATATCATATATTATAATCGATTCATTGTAAACTCTTTTATATACATCTCTGTATTACTTTCTATTCTCTACTTTTACTTCTGTTTATTTGTTTATTCTAGTTGGACAACTATAAACCTGGTGCTCATTTGATAGTTAGATCTGCTTTGGCTAATTTATCACCTCTTTCATATTTTTTTATCAAAACTATATCCACTACTACCGACTCGCCTGTAACAATATACGTATAATAAATCAGTTATAGGTTAAAAGACATCGTTTATTGAGTTTGACAGTTAGCTCTAATACTGTAGGGGGAAAAACTGTCCCGTTCGTTTAAAATTTTGTCTTTTTGCACAAGTTTTTGGTCATTTCTTTGTATACAAAGTCGAAATATATATCGTTTGAATAAGAGAAAGTATTGATATCTATACATAATTATAACTTTTTCAAAAACTAAAATCCAATGATTTTATTGGTTAAAAAATAAATATAGAAAAATGTACATTTTATTATAAAATTGTTAAGCACAAAGAATAAAAGGATTATTATTTGTAGCTTATAAAAAATGTTCAATATTATAAAAACAAGAAAAGACTTATTTGAATAAGATCAGACACAAAAACTAATGATTTATTGATGAAGACAAGAGTTATTCTATTTATACTAAGTTCTGAATGCCAAAGTAGCAATTTATCTTGTACAACGCTTATCACATCTGGTGAACCTCAGTATTTAGATAGCTGAGATGCACTTCAATTATCATAGCTTGTCCATGTTGTTGCACAACACAGACATATCTACCCATCAAGAATACCTTAATCTTTATAGACAGTTGTAGCCCTTCTGGCACAACATTGCCCCCCCAGATTCAGGTACTTCTTGTGGACATTTCGTAATCCCAGATTACAAAACATCATGACAATATAGCACATAAAGCACTTTCCAATAAATAATTACCAAATGACACTGCATCCGAGATCAATCAGTAAAAACCTTGTGTAAAAACCTTTCATAGGACAAAAATGTAAGGAAAAGACTTGATCCCATCATGCTAGTAGCCATTTAAGACCTGTTTGATCTACCACTCTGACCAATTTCGCGAGTAGTAGTAGTTCGCCAGTTAACTGTTTGAGGAGCTAACCTACGTTTACCAGCAGCCTTTGCACCTTCTCTTCGAGCCCAATACAGCTCAATGTGTTTGGCCGAATCAAAGTTTTTCACAGGCTCCCAAGTATCTTCACTAGGATCATCGAACCCTTTCCATTTTACCTTATACTCATAGTTACCAGGAGATCCTCTATGATCAATCACAGCTTGAATTTCGTAATGCTCTGCAGAGAATTCATCAATTGTGATTGGCTGAGGATTCGCAGCGACTTGGTACTTGATATGATGGGTAGGCACATCTCGACTAAGGAGTGCACCCGTCTTGTCAGCCAGCACATAGGAACCTTTATCGGTTATACTATGAATCAAATAAGGTCCTTCATACCGTTCATCTAACTTATTTTGACGATGAACATTTTTAATCATAACTTTACTACCAATAGGATAGGGTTCGGCAATGACCTTATGTTTCTTCGCAAAGTTAGCATGATCAGCATTTTGTGTATCCACAATACGCTTAGAAATAGCCGGGATAAGAACATCTTGTACAAAACGGTATCGTTTGTCAATGAGTCTGTTATCAGCTTTCTCCAAACGTTTGGAATAGTCCACCTTTGAGTAATCAGCCAGACCATTTGGTTGACGATTAAACAAAAGTGTATACGGACGAGATTTATGTAGCCGAGCATACTTGACATTGATGCAGTAATTCACCCACGGAATGAAGTGCTCCCATTGATCCCTCTTACCTTTTAACAACTTGATAGTCGTTAACTTACATATTTTGATAAATGACTCAGAAACCGAGTTACCCAATGGATTGTACCCTAATGACAGGCGATGGTCTATCCCACTGATGTCCATCATAGCACGGACCACCTCATTTATCCATTCCAGGCCTCTGTCTGAAGTCAACTTGATTGGCCATCCAAAAAGTGAGAAAACTTGAAGCATTTCTCTGGCAATTGTCGTAGCCTTCTTGTCTGGAATGCATCTTATCACAGTAAATCTCGTAAAGTAATCAGTAAGGACAAATAGAAAGTTGCTGCCGAAAGAGCTAGTAACACCCATATCACCGAGATCCATGCACCAA